GTGCACCACTGCTCAGTCCCTACTGTGACACGTTCCCAACCCCCTCACACGTTCAAAAGACACTGTTCCAACATCCTTTCCTCTCTCCTACATCACAGAATTTTTCTTTTTCTCCTGGATTATTCTCAACAGCAAACCATATCCTGTTATTTGTCCCCTCTTCTCTGTACCTCTAGTTACTCTGAAAGGGTTGTTTATGCCAACTATTTCCACTTCCTTTACTCTCGTCCTCACATAGACCTATTCCACTTAGGCCACTAGTGACCTCCACATTGCTTAAAACAAAAGAAAACCCCCCTGAACTTGTTGCTGTCGAGTTAGCTCTCACGGGTAGCAGCCCTACACGAAAGAGTTGGACTGGCCAGAAGTTTCCAAGGCTGTAAATGTTTATGGAAGCAGACGGCACATCTTCCTCCCCTCGCATGGTGGGGAGTGCAGACTACAGACCTTTCAGTCAGCAGCTCAGTGCTTAACCACAGCACCACCAAGGCTTCTTAGCATGTTGCTTAAACCATGGCTCATTCTTGGTTGTTATCTTATTTAACCAATCAATGCAATGGATTACTTCCTTTTCATTAAACATTCTATGTGGCTTCAAGGACACTGCTGTGTTGTTGTGTACCATAGAGTTGGAATCAGTCCACAGCTGACCCTCTGGCAGGTTTTCAGAGGCAGTTAATCTCACAGGAAGAGATTGCCCATCTTTCTTCCCAGAAGCAGCTGGTGGATTTGAACCACAGGCCTTTGAGATTGTGTTATTGTTGTTATTAGGTGCCATCAAGTCAAGTACAACTCATAGTGACTCTGAACAAAAGATCTGAACCAAGTCCTATCCTGCGCCGTTCTCACACTTCCTGACACACATGATCCTATTGCAGCAGTCACTGTGTCAGTCCACCTGGTGGAGGGTCTTCCTCTCCTTCACTGACCCTCGACCCTTCCCCACATCCTGTCCCTCTCCAAGGAATAGCACATCCTAGCAAAGTATGTGAGGTGAAGCCTCATTCTTGCCTCCAAAGAGCACTCTGGCTGCACCCTCTCCAAGACATACCTGTTTGTTCTCTTGACCATCCATTGGATGTTCAGTGCTCTTCTCCAACACCACAGCTCAAAGGCATCAATTCTTTTTCTGTCATCCTTATTTATTGTCCAGGTATTGGATGCATAGCTAGTAATTGGAAAGACTATGGCCTGAATCAGATGCACCTTACTCCTCAAATTGACATCACTACTCCTTGATAATTTGGAAAGGTCCCTAAACTGCAGATTTTCCCGGTGTGATGTGTTTAGTTATTTCCTGACTGTTCATACCAAGGGTGTTAATTGTGGATCCAAGCAAGACGAAGCTATTGACAGTTTCCGTCTCCTCTCCATCCATCATGACACTGCCTAATGGTCCAGTGGTAAGAATCTTTGTTTTCTTGAGATGCAATCCATACTGAAGGCTGCATTCCTTGATCCCCTGCAACAAGTTCTCCAAGTCTTCTTCACTTTCAGCAAGTAGAGTTGTGTCATCTGTGCAAATGCAAATTACTGATGAGTCTCCCTCCAATACTGATGCCACATTCCTGTTCATAGAGCCTAGCTTCTCTGATAATTTGCTCAGCATATCACAGGTGTGGAGATAGAATAAAACCCTGACACAGTCCCTTCCCAATTCCAAACTATGCAGTGCTCTCCTGATCCGTTCACACAACAGCCTCCTGTCCAGGTATAGGTTCCTCATGAGCACAATCAAGTGCTCTGGGATTCCCATTCTTCTCAATGTCAATCATACCTTGTTATGATCCACACAGTAAAACATCTTAGCATAGTCAATAAAGCACAAATAGACATTCTTCTGGTATTCCTTACTTTCAGCCAGGATCCATCTGACATCTGCAGTGATATCCCTGGTGCCACAGCTTCTTCTAAACCTTGCTTGAACTTCTGGAAATTCCATATCTATGTACTGTTCCAGCCATTTTTGAACGACCTTCAGCAGTATTTTGCTTGCATGGACTATCAATGATATTGTTCGATAATGTCCACTTTCAGTTGGGATTGTAGCATAATGCTTTACCACTAGGCCACCAGAGCTCCTTTCAAGGACACTACACTCCTGCTTTTTCTCTTTCCTTTCTGGCTACTCCTTCTCTGTCTCCATCCATTCCATCTGCTAGTCTCTGCATTTTGGAGTATCCCAAGCTCAGACTGTTCTTCTGATCCCTCTTTCCCTCTACTTACTTCCTTGATGACCTAGTGTTAAGCCTGTAAATGCCATCTCTATGATGATGACACCTACATTTTTATTACGAGTCTTTCTAGTCTTCTTTCTTCTCTACCTCAGACTCACAAATCCAGCTGTCTGCTCTGTGTCTCCACTTTGCTCTCATTTTAAAATGTCTTGCACTGAACTTCTGATCCTCCCTCAACTGGTGCCTCACATCCCCTTTCCCATCTAGTTAACAACCACTCCATTTTTTCTAGTTGCTGAAGCCCAAACCTGTATCTGTCTTTCTAACTCCTTTCTTGGTCTTGCACATCCCATCCAATCTGTCAGCAAATCTTTTGGATGATACCTTGAAATGTTTCCAGAATCTGTTCCCTTTCCCTTCTGCCTCTGTGTCCATCCTGGTGCATTGTCTCTTTCTGGAATGAATGCCATTTCCTCTCAACTGGCCATTCCGCTTGCCTCCACTCATCTTTGTTAAATGTCCGGTGCTGTTGGGCTTGTCCCAGCTCCTAGAACAGCTCCCTGAACACAGAGAACAATGCCCTGCCCCGTCCTGTCCCATCCTTACATTGTTGATGGGTTTGATCCTGTTGCTGTTCTAGTCACTGTAACCGCCCATCTCATTGAGGGTCTTCCTCTTTTTTACTGATCCTCTACTTACCAAGAATAAATTCTTTCTCCAGGAACGGATTCCTCCTGTTAAAACATGTCCAAGGTGTGGAAGACAAAGCCTTATCACATTTCCTCTGTCGCATCCTCTTTCTTTTTTAAGAAGCATTCTCATTGTACTTCTTCTGAGATAGAATTGTCCGTTCTTCTGGCAGTTCATGGTGTATTTAATATTCTTAAATTATCATTTAAGAGCATCAGTTCTTCATTCAGTCTTCCTTATGCATTGTCCATCCAACTTTCACATGCACATGAAATGATTAAAATGACATCTTACCCTTCAAAGTCTTTGTTTCTTAAGACTTTAATGAGGCTTCTTTTCACTCTCCCTCCTCTGGCCACACTGGCCTCTCCTCCCTTCCTCAAAGCATCCCAGATACGTTAGCACCTCACATCTTGTTCCTCTGCTTGATGTGCTCTGTCCTACTGGGGTTTACTTTGTCTCTTTCAAGTCTTTGCACAGATAACACCTTCCCAGTGAGGCCTTCCCTAACCACTCTATTTACAGTTCAGCCTTCATGTTCATCCCCTCTCTGTTTCTCCGCCACTAAAGTGGAAGCTTCAGTGGGGACAAATTTGTCTTTTTCATCACTCTCATGTGTCTGGCACAAAGCAATTACTTACCATTTGTTGTATGAATAAATTAAATTGCATTTGGCATACCTGCTGCCAAGAAGTCGACTTCTTTAAGGTTCTTTAAGGTGCCAGAGAGAAAGAATTTCACTGTAAAGACTAAGGTGTGCCTGCCCCAAGCCACTATTTTTCTATTACATCATATGTGTGTGTGAAAGTTGGGCAATGAATAAAGAAGATCTGATGTCTTTAAACTGTGATGTTGGCAAAGAACATCGAATATACTGTGGTCTGCCAGACAGACAAACAAGTCTGTCCTGGAAGAAGTGGCCGAGTGCTCTTTAGAAGCAAAGGGGCAGGGGGGAGGGTACACGGAAGGAAGCAAAGATGATGGCACTTTGTCTCACAGACTTTGGGCATGTTATCAGAAGGAGTCAGTTTCTAGAGAAGGACGTAATGCTTGGAAAAGTAGAAAGCCAGGGAAAGAGAGGAAGACTCTCAGTATATCAGAGATATGCTGACAGACTGACTGCAACAATGGGGTTAAGCACCCCAGAGATTGTGGAGATGGTGAAGGATCAGGGAGGGTTCTGTCATATCATGTATAGGGTCACTATGACACATAGCCAACCCAATGGTACCTAACAACAACAGCAACAGTTTTCCAGAATGAGAATGAAGAAAGTGAGCTGAGGTCTGGTATAAAAGGGGATCACGTTTTTGTATTAGAACGACCATGCATACTAACTCTAAGTGACTCTAACCCTAACCGTAGCCCTAGTTAAAGCAGCTCCTTATCCCTTCTAGTTTTAATCTGTGCTTTCCACTCTTATCCTTGCCTGAAGAATCTGGATCCCAGTGACTTTGACCTCTATATTTGGGCCAAGCCCCTGAGCAGATACTGGTCTTCCTGCTTCCTTTGTTAGGAAGAGAATGGCATGTACTGACTCACTGCTGAGTGCCAGACTCTCTACGCTTACCTGAAGTATTTGCAGGAGCTATTTCCTTTGCTGGTAACTAGATCACAGACCGGTAGGATGCTCGAGATGGTAGCGGTGAGCCCAGTCCCCATGAGTGTCCTCTAGATGCAGTTCCTGTCTTCCTACTTGAATACTTCCACCCTGTGGTCTGGCTTGTCTGTCATGTTTGTTCATCTAGATACAAGAGTGGCTTCACAAAGGCAGGTTGAGGAAGACCTGTTTGGATGTGCACTCTATAAAGATTTTCTTAAAAGCATCAAGTGGTACAATGAGAACCACCCCAGGGTACCTGAGCTCTTGTGTCATATGCCTGGAGCTGGAGAAACAAGTTCTCTTAAAAGGACAGGGCTTTTCTTCCTCCTGGACTGTGCTTCCTTCATTGACCAATCATCTATAAGCTTGGCAGCTGGGCACAGTGTAGGGTAGGGATTCAGTCTCTGCTTCAACTGCTATACGCAAGCAACTTTCACTTCTCTTCCAGAAGGTTCTGTATTTTGAAAAGTTAACGGTGAGTCCTCATGTCGAAACTGGAGGCCCCTCTGTTTACCATGAAACCGTCTGAGATGCCTGTCTTGGCCAACAACCTGAATATGGTGGAGAGAATGAATAACACGTCGGCTGATGTGTGCTTCCAGTCCAAGAACACCGTCCTCCAGGGGCAGCCCTTTGGGGGTATCCCCACCGTGCTGTTGCTCAACATCCTCGTGTGGATAGTGAGTCCTGGGCACTGTGGTGGGGAGACAGCAAGGTCTCAGCCAGGGCCATGCTCATGCTTTCACAAGTGATACAGCAGGGGCCGCGGGTGTCCATTCGGACACCAGGCATAGTGATGCAAACCAGCTGAATATGCCGGTCTTGTCCAGGGCTACCCAGATGGATGGGCCTCAGGGATGCAGGGTCAGTCAGAGTCCTTGGTACTCCTGTGTGTTATTGTCCAAAGATCCATCTGGCCAGCGCCCTTGGGCTTTGCGTCTCTCTCTCCCAGTTGATGTCTCCAAGGGGAATTACTGTTTAATAGGCCTAAGCATGCTGCCACAAGAATGGGAAGTTGCCAAGGGCGTGCCCCCTACCTGAGAGCTCCCACCTTGTGGAAGAGCCCCACGGAGCCCCTGGGAGCCTCATGGGTGGGATCTCCCCCTCAGCAGTGGAGAACCTTCCAACAGGAAGACATCCACGGACTCTCCTGCCCTCTCTCGCTCTTCCTGCCCGATAGGTCATCGTCTTGCTTTACTCCTTCCTCCGGAAAGCTGCGTGGGACTACGGACGCCTGGGCCTCCTGATGCACAATGACAGGTAGGGAGAGGCCGGGAGGCTGGACAGGGGAGCTGTGAGGAATTCCCTGTGAGGAATGTGACCGCACCCAGGGCATGTCCCTGTTAGTGCCCAGCCTGCAGCAGGGGTCTCACGGGCAGTGCATCTCACAGCTCATCCCCTGCCCAAGCTTTCTTTCCTACTGTCTGACTTTGTGATCCTGGAAGTGGACTCCTGCCAGGCACTAGTTTCCTGGCCGTGGGGGTGTTGACTGCCCTGTGAACGGAGGCCTTGAGCCGCCCCTGGGCAGAGAGAGGGACAGCTAGCTGAAACCTGGTCTCTCCTTTTCCGCCTCTCCACCACCTTTCCTGACCGGCAGCCTGACCTCGCTGATCTATGGGGAGCAGAGTGAGAAGACGTCTCCCTCCGATATTTCTGTGGAGATGGAACGCAAGGACAAGGTGAGTGTGGGGACCAGGCTGGGCGCTCCTGGCTGCAGGCAGGCAGCCGTCATGTGTCCAGGAAGGGATGAGAAGCTTGGCAGTCAGCACTACTGAGTCGCTTCCAGCAACATGACCTTGAACAGATTACTCAGCCTTGCTAAGCCTCCATTCTTCTATCTGGGAAATGGAGATATTAATGAGTCCTCCACCCAAGGATGCCAAGTCAGCATTAGCTAATTAGAATATCTTCAAACTCGTTGCTGTCAAGTTGGAACCAACTCAAAGCTAGTCCTCCAGAGGATTTGGAGGCTGTAGGTTGCACAGGAGAAGCTTGGCCATCTTTCTCCCACGGAGCCCCGGTGGACCCCCTTTGAGTAAGTAGCTCAGTTCCCCATGGTCTGTGGCACCAGCGCCCCCCTTAAAGATTGGAAGCCTTTCTCTCTTGTTGCTGTTGAGTTGGAACTAACTCAGCTGATCTTCCAACATGAGGGATATTGTCCATCTTTCTGCCCTGGGGCTCCTGGTGGGTTCAAACTGCCAACGTGGTGTGGCCTTTGGGTTCACAGTGCAGCTCCCCATGGATTGGGTCACCAGCGGCTCCTTAAAATCTTGGAATTTTTAAGTTGTGTTTTCTACTCCCCTCCAATCTCCATACCTCCTCTCAGCACCACCGCCCCTGCCCTCCCCTCTCCATGGAGGAACCACGTTGCACTTTACAAAGAAGATTGACTTTGTGGGGCAGGAATCCTCTCAACCTGCTGCTACTCAAGTCTCCTCTCACTTCTTCCTGTTCAAGGCCTGCCCCTCCCTCTGAGCCATTCATTCATTCTCCCCTAGTCTCACCAGGTCCTGCCCTGGGAGGCCTTTTTTCCAGGAGAGGAAGAGAATTCTATGGTGCATGTGTGAGAACTGTAAGTGCATAAAGGGATAAAAGCACCAAGAGGCGAGGCCCTCGAGAGCAGTGGAGGATGCCCCTATACAGATGGTGATAAAAAGATCAGGGCAGAAGGCAGAGGCCGAGTGGGAGCTGGGTATAGTGAGAGCAGCCCTCATCTCTCCAGGGCCCTGCAGCTGTCATCTCCCTGTGCCTGTCACAGTTAAATGGAAAGAGTTATCTGCATTTTTTTTAGTGACTTGCCTAAATGTGCCTTTTGTGTCCATTTTCTCACCTCCAACTCATTGCTCAGTTCACTCTAACTTGGATGACCCCCTGTGGCTCCACCCAGACAGAGTCTCAGTGGTCTCACATCACGGAACCCAATGGACTATCCTCGGTGGACCCTGTAGACCATCTTCCCACTGTGAGCAGATGTGTTCAGCTGTTTGCATAGCCCTGCCGCCTGGGCTTCTGCCTCTCTGTCAGCTCCTCAGTCTCCTCTGCAGACCTCTGCTCCACACCTGGTGTTCCCAAGGCTCAGTCTCAAGCCTTCCTCTCCTCCTTTCCCCACTCCCTCCCTTATTCCCCTCCCCCTTCTTTCTTTCCCTCCTTCTCCCTCCCTTCCCCTCCCTTCCTCGCCTCTTCCCCCCTTTTTGACTCCCTCTCTCAGATGGTGTCTTCCACCCTCACAGCTATCACTTGCATACTGATCCTCCTTAAAGTTCTATCTCCAGCAAAACCTGCTTTGAACTCCAGCTCTATTGATCCAGCAACATTCAAAATACCCTTCGATACTGTAAAGACATTCCATATTCAATGTATCCACAATGTGCTGTGAGACAGACCCCTCCACAGGCAGCCCATCACCCTGTCCTGTCACCTGTATCATCCTACTCCTGTTTCTTTCCATCCCACCGTCTCCCCCCTCGGACCTCCCTCGGTCTCTTGCTTTGATGACTGAGGGAGCCTCTCTCCAATGTTTTGTCCACATCCTGTCCATTTTCCACCCGCACCCAGAGGGAGCCTCATAGTTAACCCCTCATTCCCTCACGTGAGCCTTTTGTACAAGTAAGCGGCAGATGTTTCCGCACAGCTCAGTGGTTTGACCTTCTAACACCTGCCCTGCCACATCTCCTTATTCCTCACCTCTTTGATCCAAAAAAATGTCCCCACTTTCCCACCTCGTGGTCTTCCCTCTTCTCATTCTTTGGTAACCCCTCTCCAAGTTACAACACCCACCCTTCCATGTATTTCAGCCCAAGCAACACTTTGTCAGGACTCCCGATCACCCCATCGAGGTCTGTATTGTGTACTCATGGAAAACTCATTCCATTTCTCCAAAGCTCTTCATTCAGCCTGTGTGTGACGAGTCCTTTCTGCGTGATGTATGTAGTAACGCCGGCTTTCCAACCCCCACTCCTACTGTGAGAGAAGGTGCCGACCTTGGGTTGGCATACCGCTGTCTCCAGCACGCAGTGGTATCTGATAAATGTTTGCTGGATGCTGTGACAGAGTGGGACTGTGTCCTGTTAGCAGCCCACCGTGAACCCAGCTTCCTTCCAGAGTGTGACGCCTCAGACGAGTCACTTGGTCTCTGGGAGGCATCGCTGGTAGAATGAGGACAGTAACACCTACCTTACAAGGTTGTTCTCAGCTTTATTTTTAGAAACATCACCTTTAAAAAAAATAATGACAAAAAGATCATTTTATTTTTAAAATGTTTAAGAAGACAAATCACTCTGCCAGCAGTGGGAACATCATACTGAAGAGGGTAAAAATTAGATGAGCAAGAGCGTGGAGTGAAGTGACCTGCAGTGGGTGAGCCAGCCAGGACAGGAGTCTCACCAAGGCTGGGTGTGTGGGTGACCAAACGGCCTCCCCTCAGGACCCCAAGAGTAAGTCAAGGCAGGGGTCATCCATCCCCATGTGGGTGCTATCAACAGGATCCTGTCCTCTGAGGTGGGTGCTGGGAACTTGTTCAAAGCCAGGAGAAAAACGGGAAGTGCCTGCCTCTCAGGCCTGCTGCTCAGCTTCTAAATGCTCTGAATGGCTTATGCTTTTCACACATTTACAGGCATGTGTGAGAGAATACCTCTCTGTTCATCAAATTTTCATGGGTACACAGGCCACATTCCACTCCTGACCACTGCCATTTCGTGAGTCAAAGACCTCTTCCAAGAGCTGTGGACCTCCGTCCTGTCCTGTAGTATGCGGTGTGTGTACCTGCTGGTGTGAGGCACACTCCTCCCTGCTCACCTGTCCCTAGAAGAGGGTGGAAGTGTGTCCCCAGGAAGATGTGCTCTCCACTGACTGTGACCACAAGGGGGCAGCAGAAAGCCTACCTGCTTTGCTGCTTTCACCAAGTGCATCCTTGTTTATCCAGACACAGAGAGAGTGGTGACTGGCCTCCCAGCCCAGCTTTTGTCTCGATTTTTCACTCACTTCCTGACTGCTGCCACCATCATTCTCTTTCCTTCCTTGCCCAGATCACACCTCAACTCCTGTCTTTACTTTAGCTTCCTGGGCCCAGCCAGAACATTCCTACTGCCAAGCATCCACAGATAGGGAAGGGACCTACAAGTGGGCCTTATCCTGTAAGGGCTGAGCAAAGTCCTCCTCTACTTGTTAATGGAACCCTCATTGCCTGACATTGGGAACTGCCCCTTCTCCAGTCCATGCAACATCAGAGGAACTAGACATCATGGGACCTGGTATGCAGGGAACATCCTGCAATGTGCACCCACGTGGTGCCAACCACTAAGGGCTGGTAATTTTCCAGGGCTTTGCTTGAACTCTCTGAGACCCAAGAAGGAATCATGTACCAAGGAGGAAGGATAACTTATCCCATGACCAGATGTGGAAACTTCTAGAGCCCCTGGCCCAACTCATCCCTATGCACAACCTCCCTATAAGCCTATTCTCTCAGAGACTACATTTCTTACTCCCCAGAAACTCTAGATAGCAGGACCCCAAGGGAAATGTTTACTTGAAAAGAATTTGATACAAGAGAAGAAATCCAGCTCAAACTATAAACTTCTTATAAAATTAAGTTTTATAAGAAGGCAGTTTATCATATTAGTTTATCATTTGCCCTTGAATTGATCCGTACTCATGGCTTTCTAAGGTACCTCTGGGTGAACTTGAACTACTAACCTTGTGGTTGCCAGCTAGATGTGTTAATTATTTGCACCACCCAGAACCTCTAATTTATGATTTAGCTTTGAGGAAGTTCAAGGATATAACCACCTAGATCCAAGAAGTCTATTGGTGCCATTAAAACCACCCTCTCTCATCCTCTGTCCTCCGAGTTTTTTCCCCCTCAGACCAGTTCTCTATACAGGGCACAAAATATGGCCTCAAACCACTTTAGGCTCCATGTGTTCACAAAAATCCTAGTCTCAGAGGGCAAGAATCTTTCTCTTTGTCTCCCTCCCCATTGTCTGTACTGATGCTCTTAAAAGAGTTACAATTGACCCCACTGGGTCATGCTCCCATTGGTCAAGTGGCTACTTGGTAGGCGGTGCATCAGATCACATGTTAAGCAGGGACATTTTCCAAAAAGAAGCAAGGAAAGACTGATCAAAAAGTAAGAGACAGTCACCTCAGAACGAGGTCCTCAAGGAAAAAAAAAGAAGGAAGGAGGCGGCTAGTTGGTCGGCGGTTTTTTTTTTTTTTTTTTTTTTTTTTTTTTTTGTTATTATTAATTTTAATGAAAGTTTACAGAGACTTTGGATTTCCATTCATTCATTGTTGCACTTTTCTCCCTGACCACCCCTCCCTACCAATTCGCTCTACTCTTTGAATGGTGAAAGAAAAATTCTTTCGTTGTTATACAATTCCTCCCTTCAAGTCCACTCCACTATGCAGCCTTTGCTCTGGACTCCTGTCATGACAATAATACCCAATCATATATCCCTTTTAAGTCATATATCCCTCTTCTGTTTTAATGCAATATACACAATTTATCTCATCTTTCTTACTCTCTCCCTAACCTCGATGTCAGTCTTATTTTACAACAGTGGCACCATGCAGTATTTGTTCTTTTGTGACTGAGATATTTCACTCAGCATACTGTCTTCCAGGGTCACCCATTTTGAATAATATTGCATGAGTTTCTTGTTTTTCAATGGAGTATTCCATTGTGTGAATATACCACAGCTTCTCTATCCATTCGTTTGTTGATGGGCACTTATGTTGTTTCAAACTCTTTGCTATTGTGAACAAAGCTGTGATAAACATGGGTGTGCACAGGCCCTTTTTCTAAGACCCTATTGTTCAGGATGTCTCTCTCTTTTTTGTTTTTGTTTTGTTTTGATTTGAGTTTTCTTCTGTTGGATTTTTTTTTTTTTTAGGAGAGACGTTTTCACTAGTCATCACTGCTGCCTTCTTGAACCACTTCCTCCTGGACCACTCACTCTTTCCCACCACCTGCCTCCTGGGAAAGAGATCCCTTCTGGATGCTGCCAGGGGTTACAGAGCTGGACAAAGCAGGCTGGGGCTAGGTTTTCAGTGCCTCTTCTTTTTTCCCCCACAGGGCTTTTGTTCCTGGTTCTTCAACAGCATAAATATGAAGTAAGTGCCTTAGCTTTCTGAATCTGTGAGGGGTGTTGCCTTTGGGGAAAGGTGGAACATCCTTCTGCCAGAGGGGCCCTGGTGGTGTAGCAGTTAAGCACTTAAAGCTTGTCTGTCTGAATGTATCCAGCAGCTCTGAGGGTGATAGCACCTAACAATCTACTCCTGTAAAAATTGTTGTTGTTTTGTACCATCTAAATAGAACTGACTCATTGCTGACCCTCCAGCAGGTTTTCAAAGACAGTGTGTCACACAGACACTGATTGTCCATCCTTCTCCCATGGAGTAGCTGGTCGATTTGAACCACATGCCTTTGGGTTGGCAATACAACTCCTTAGCAGTGCAACATCTTACCTCTAAGTCAGCAAAGCTGCTTCCTTTGAAAGTTACAGCCGTATACGTGGAGGTTCTAATCTGTCACAAGGAATTTTTTTAAGAGTCCAAACTGAGTCATTTTCACTCCAAAATAAGCAGATCTCTGGTTGACTGGACTGACCTAACTCAGTAGATACCCTTGGGCCCAGTCCAGGCAGAAGAAAGTATCATGTAGATAAAATTATAGTTGATTAAATAGGGATAAGGCAAAGCACACACACACACACCCATTTGCTTTTTGCTGCAACATTCAAGTATGAAATAACAGATTCAGATTATGGTGCTAGTGTAAGTCTCTGTGTGCAGCTGATTGTGTGTATCTTTGTGTCTGGACCGCAGGAGAGGTCAGTGTATGCAGGGTGTGTGTGTGTGTGTGTGTGTGTGTGTGTGTGTGTGTTCTGTGCCCCAGAGGCTCCCTATCAGTGAGAGCTCCCCCTCCGCACATGGCGAAGCTGTCATCAGAAAGGGGAGGGAAGGGTCAGCGTTCTGTATCCAGCGCCCTCTGCAAGCAATGCCGTAGGTGACAGTCATAAACATTCACCCATCAGCAACAAGCAAGCCAGAGTTCCAGGATCTAAGCCTGTGTCTGGCTGGAAAAAAACCAATGGTTAGACCCATCAAACATCATAATGGGCATGGTATAAATGCCATACAAAAAGGATTGGCGAGAGATTAAAATTCCAACAGAGAGGTGTAGGAAGCTTAGTTTTGATCGAGGCCTTGAAGAACAAGAAGAATTTTGACATTAAGATAAAGTCTAATTAAAAATATGTAGGAAAAGACTTCAGGTTAAATATTAAGCAAAAGGGCAAGCCATTTAGTGTCATTTATAATAAAATCACTAGATAAAGCCTAGACAGAAGACAAATTGATGCCTTTGAGTTGTGATGCTAGAGTACTGAATATCCCGTGGGTTGCCGAAAGATTAAACAAACATATCATGGAGCAACCAGGGCTCACTAGAGGCAAGGATGGTGAAACTCCATGTCACATACTTTGGGCCTGTTGTCAGGAGGGGACAGTCTTTGGAAGGGGACATCATGCTGGAAAGGTGGAGGGTCAGTAGAGAGAGGAAGAGCACCAGCATGGCAGATGCGATGTAACAATGAGCTCAAACCTGTCACCCATCAAAAGGAAGGTGCAGGGCAGGGTAGGGGTCAGGTCTGTGTTCACAGGGGTCGCTGTGAGTCACAGTTGACTCCACAGTGCCTCCAACAACAGGTAAAAGCAGCGTAAGAAACTAAAGAAAATCAACTAAAACACTTAATAGTCATTGTCCTGAGTTTGATAAGTTGTAGGCAAACCAGATCCTATTCTTTCATGTTTTACAAAATTTTTAAAATAAGCGTGTGTTGCTTTTAGTTTTTTAACTGAAAGATGCAGAAGTACAAAAAAAGAAGTATATAGCTCAGTTATCAGAAACCACACCTGTGCTGCTCTGTTCGGATCAAGAATTAGAAACCCTCCCTCGGTCCCTCTCCGCCTCTGGCTTCTCCTTCCTTCCCAAAGGTTACCAGTAGCTTGGCTTTAAAATACGCAGGCTTAACTCATTTAATTGCACTTTGATTTCATGTACTCCGAATACCCCACATCTTTGTCAACACTTGATATTGTCCAACTCTTTCAATTGAATGGGACTGTGGAATGATCTCTCTCTCCTACTTAATTCAAAGAACCTAACGATTTTTTTAAAAAAAATAAGATGCACCTTGTTATCATTAGTCCCTTGACCAATGTCCACAAAAAACACTCAAGAATATTGGAAGTAATGAAAGAGAGAGTGAATGTTTGATTGCCTACTGTGTCTCTGTAATATTATCTCTATCTTTCTGCTGCCTGTTAAATTCAGTTAAATACATTTCAAGCCTAACAGACACGTTGGCAGTGATGATGTTTTTAAACATTAAGACTTCAGGCTGGTGGGCATTGATAATCCCCCCTCTCCCTGCATCTCTTCCCAGTTTAACCTCTGGCCACTCTGCCTCCTGAAAGATGTCCTTCGTTTTGTGTCTCTTCCAGGAACAAGGATCTGATCAACAAATGTGGGGATGATGCCCGCATCTACATCATGTTCCAGTACCACCTCATCGTCTTTGTTCTCATCCTCTGCATCCCCTCCTTGGGGGTCATCCTGCCCATCAACTATCTAGGAAACGTTCTGGGTAGGACGAGCTCAGCAGGGCCGTGGGGTCTGGGTAACTGCAGCCAAGAGCAAACTGGTGGGTGAGACAGGGTCTTAGGGCCTAGAAACCTGGATTTTTATGTTGACTTCTGGTAGTTAGTGAAGGTATGTGTAACTAGTGGTCTGCACTTTACTACTCTTATAGTACGAGCTTGTTGTTGTGTTGTTGATTGCCATTGAGTCGCGTACAACTCATAGCGACCCTATGAACAAAAGGCTTGAAGCCTTTCTATAACTCTAGTCATCATTTATCAAAGTTCATAGTTTCCAGAGGCATGTTGTTTAGGAAAGTGGATGCCACTTAGGTGGCTTTTAATGGTAAAAAGTAGCTCTGCCAACTCAAAAGCACATAGTTTGAGTCCACTAGCTGTTCCGCAAGAGAAAGACTGGCATTCTCCTGCTGTGCGATTTATAGACTCCGAGAATCTGCAGGAGGGTCAGCTAAGAGTCTGTTCCAACTCAATGGTACATAAGAACAGCGGTGACCAGTAACAGTGCGCTCGAGTATGTCAGAGACAGAGGATGGCAGAGGGTAGAGCAGGGCTCAGATCCACTGTCCGTAGGGAGCTGGGAGCTGTATTTGACGCAATGGCATTTAACAGCTGTCTAGTGACACCAGAGAATATAATTCTGGAATCTACTTCCATAAAGATTGTAGCCAGCGTAACTTTGAGTTTTCCATGAATTAGAATTGACTTATCGATGGGTTTGATTTGAGAGTTCTTGGAAAATAATATTTTGCCATGTTGGGCAAGCCAGGCTTCACTTCTCTCATATGGAGAATGGTGCTAATACCAACTTTGTCATATAGTTGAACATGCTTAACCCAGCAAATGGCACATAGCAGGTGCCCAGTACTAATTCATTCTGACGTAGAATATTCATTCGCATCCACACCTGGATTTGACCAGAGGGTCATAGTTACCTTTTAGACATCTGACCCATGGCATTTCCCAAAGATTCCCAAACTGGATTCCTTCCTGTCCTCCCCATGATGGCTAGAGCTCCACAAGTACAGCATTTCTTAGAGAAGACCCCAATTCTCACATGGCATAAGAGGGTGAGCCCCTGTAGCAAAGGGGCATCATCAGGTGGGCCTTACTTCAAAGACAGAAGAGCTAAACTGCACCTTGACTCTACAGTTTTTGTCCACATATTTCCCAGAAAACCCCTTTATCCAACTTGGCAAATTATTTAATGTTAAATTTGTCCTGCCAGTCTCTCTAAGCGGCATGCCCCAGTGTTTCTAAGCTGCATGCCCTTGACTTTGGAGTGTGTTGGGAGATAATGTGTGTACAGTGCCTGAGACATAGTGAGTGCTCAGTGAACTGTAGCCAGACCAGCACTTACCATGATGGAAGATGGACAGAGCTGTGCACAGGTCACACAACGAGGTTGTATGGATTCGTGCCTTTATCATCAAGTAGCAAGCAGCTTACCTCGATTCTTTGCTTTTCGACTAGTTTTTCCTAAGTCAGAGACAGTACTTAGTGAATTCAGTGTAGCAGATGAGTTGCCTGTGCCAACCTCCTCCCCTATCAGCGTAAATCGCTTCTGAGTCATGACTTTCCAGGTTCTCATCCTACAAGCTAGTGTGTGGGCAGGGATCGTGCAGGGCGGGCTTTTTAAACATGTTCCATAAAACCTGGGAATGTTGAAACCAATAGACTGCATGCTTGGTCAGGAGGACCCGCTCTGTTGAGATGAGCTGGTTCCCTTCTCTGGAGTTCTGAACCCTGTGGTGTTTGTCAATGGTGATACTGTTGCTGGTTCCATCATTTTGCTGCTGGGGAGACAGCCGTGTTCCTTCAGCTAGCACTTGCTGGGTGTCTGCTCTGTGCCACCAGTGACTGGGGTGCCGTGTGAGACATGATCTCCCTTATGGCCACGGCATCCGACTCAGCAGTACCCTGGAGAAGGAGGTGGAGGGGAGGCTCAGTTTATGTTGGGGATGGGATAAGCTCTGGGTGCTGGAAGGAAGAACAAGACAAAGGCAGGCACCTCTAGATGCTAGGAATTCATTCTAGAACTTTGGATCCTGATGCTTCATACTCTCCTAAGGAGCAAGGTTCAAGGTCATCCACTTTCTTGTCTTTCAGAGAAGAGTAGTCACTTCGGTCGAACCACTATTGTCAATATCTCCACAAAGTAGGTACCTGATCTTCTTACCTCCCGCTCTACTTCCTGGGGTGTCGGGGTGGAGGGGATAGGAGCTTAGCGGGTCCATCTATCACATGGGCACTATTTTCTCCACCTACCCTCCCACCCCCCGCCCACTCTCCCAGCCCACACTGTGAGGCTGAGCTTTTCATTCTTCTTCTTCTTTTTTTTTTTAAGTATAATTTCTGTCATAGCAGAACTGTATACACAAAAGTCAATTCAAAGTTCAGAGTGAAAAAAAAAGTCCAAGTTGATCCCAAAGAGACATTGTCACACACGGCTTCATGCCCGCTCTACCCAGCTCTGCACAGGGCACGACCTTTCTTAACGAGTGAGGCCCGGTTTCTCAAGGATGCCAGGCCCTGAGTAGTTGTTGTGTGCCGTCAGAAGTCACATTCTTTTGGTGGAGAAGGACTTTTGTTCCCTGTGTCCTCATATCTGTTGCTGTTAAGTGCCATCAAACTTCACTTGATCACTTAGCAGTGCGCTGGAAAGGTCCTTAGAGACCTGCGATCTTGCTTCCTCCAAGAATCAAGGCATCTAGCTAGATAGGGATTGCATGGGGAAAGTCAGGCACTGTGACATGGAGATATTTTAAAGCAAGCACTTTGCTCCTGAAACCGCACCAAATACAGCAGGCACCATTGCTGAGCAAAATCCCAACCAGATGCCGGGGGGCAGGGACTCTGTAACATGAATTGGAGTGAGACGGTAAGCATGACACTGCTGTGGTCATTCTCCCTGCCCCAGGGAGAGCGCAGCTCAGGAGGTAGAGCCTTCCTCTTGCCTGGCTTGTATGTGCCCTCAGGCTTCTGCTCAGCACAGAGCTCCCAGGAGCCCTTCTGCTTGGCCTGAGTGTGACATACAAGTGAGGAATCTCAATGCTTCAGCAGCCTTGGACCCCCCCCCCTTCAAGAACTGCCACTGCTGTAGTGACCAGGGCCACCTGCCCACGCTTCCTTAAGGAGAAAATGACAATAATTCAGCCCTGCTGTCCATGTCGTAGGAGTTTGATAGAAAGGCACTATCCCTTCCTGGGTCTTTGGCAGATGGGATGCGCACAGTCCACATGGGGCCACTAGTGTGCCTCACCCCTGTAAAAAAAAGCAAGGGCCACATGGGGTGTGCCATATCTGACCTTTACCACTTCACAGGGGAGAGCTGGCCCCGCCTACAGCATCAATAACACAAAAACTATTTCCCATGAGGTCATAATGTGTCCCCCAGTCACCCGTGCCTCTTTCTACTCCTTTCAACACTAATCTTACTACTTTGCTGGGTCCAAAATCTAATGTGATAGTTCACAGACCACACAGAACCATATCAGGAAAATAAAAACTTTATAACCCAGATTAATAACAGAATACAGTCAAGACAACTCCCGAAATGTGCACACAGGCACGTCAGCCTTAGTTAAGTCTTGAGTGTTCCCAAGTTCTCAGTCCTGCCAATATTGACTTCCCTCCTCGGTTGTCCAACAAAGTTCTCAGTCCTGCCAAAATCGGCTCCCCTCCACCCCGAAACCCAAAGTCCCATCTCATGTCAGTTCTCCAGTTTGGCCATGGCTGCTGCCATCCCGAAGTATGTCCTAGATTTTCCTGACTCCTCTTCACCTTCATCAGGGTGGGGAAGGTCTCTTTCCTCTTCTCTGGCCGGAGAGGATTCAATCTCTGCAGCTAGAGCTGTCCAGTTTATTCATGAGACTGGCCAGTCCTCTTGGGGAATGGTAGAAAGCCAATCCCTTTTTTGATAAGCCAGCATGCCCCATTTGCCTAGTCCTGTCCACCCACATGATCAGTCATCCCCATTCAAATAAATCCTAGAAAAGCCATATTGAAAGACGAACTTCATAACCCCCTTCTTAACCACTGCAGCCCCTTCCAGAGTGTGTCGGCTCCCAGTGGGAAGACAGTGTGCTGGGTGGGCTCCATAGAGAGGCTGAACACCCCGTCCCCCCGTTTCCTGTTCTCGGCAGGAGTCAGTTCCTGTGGCTGCACTGTTTCTTCGCCTTCCTCTACTTCGTCATCAACCTCTTCTTCATGATTCATCACTGCTTGGGGTGTGTGCCCAAGAAGAACCAAAAGGTGAGTGAGTCTGTGAAAAAGAGCTGCTCTCTCGAGCTAAAGCCGCCTTCCCAGCTGGGCCACCTCACTTCCATCCTCCAGAAATGGTCCTCCTTGGCACATCTTGCACACCACAAGCATAGAGGATCTCACCTGAGCAGGGCAGGCCTCCTCCCTTTAGCCCCAGTGGGTAACCATTTGGCACACCCTGGCACTTACAAACTGGTTGTTAAACAGCAATGGTTCGGGTGTCCCGCCCAACGCCACCCCGTACCCCTCATACGTCAGCCCTCAGAACTTCCTCACCCCATCCATAGACTAGAGTGTTAGCAAACACTTGGTCCAGCAGGGGGCGTCCAGCATTCTTCCCAACTGCTGGGTAAGCTCTGCTGAGCTGCTAGGTAAATCTTGCATCATCCCTTCTGCAATCTCTGGTGTCAGAAAACCGCATGTCTTGCCCTTTTTATCTCTTTACTCTCTTGATTTGGGTTCCCTCCAAATTAGTCTCTGGGACAAGGTTTTGTGTAGCATTAGTTCTTTTCACTTATGTGCAAGTTCTTTTCACTTATGTGCAAGTTTTGTGTAGCATTAGTTCTTTTCACTTGTGTGCAAGTTCAAATTGAAGCTGAAGAAAATGAAGGCCACAAGAACCCAAATACAACCTTGAATCTATCCTGCTTGGATTTAAAAACTATCTCAAGAATAAGTTTGAAGCATTGAACAGTAATGACCAAAGAGCAGATGAATTGTGAGATAGCATTAAGAATATTGTCTATGAAGAAAACAAAAGAACATTACAAAGACTGGGTAAAAGAAGAGACTGAAAATTTCACTAGAGTGTCAAGAAGTCAAAACAAAGGGAATAAATGTCAAAGTAAAAGAACTGAACCGAATATTCCGAAGAGCAGCTCGAGAAGACAAAGGAAAGTAGTATAATGAGATGTGCAAAGAGCTGTGATTAGAAAATAAAAAGGGAAGAACTCACTCCACATTTCTTAAGCTGAAAGAGTATGCAGACTTGAGGGAGCGTGTGGAGAAGGGAGCTGAATATGCTCCTGAGGGCAAGAAAAAGTACCTAGGCAGAGGGGCTCTGGTGTTTGAAGTGACCACAGTATTTCGTGTGTGGATATCAAGGTCAGCAGGTCACACTGGCCATGGTCTTCTGCCTGCACTGTGCACAGACAGGTATGAGTAAAGGGCTGGGAAGTTGTCTGTGCTCTCGTGGGAGCAGGGGCAAGAAATGTGCTTAACCTTTGCACCTCAGTTTTCCAGAAGTGCAGTGGGGTGAGCTCCCTCCAAGGCCCTCTTCCCTAAAGGACTGAGTCTTCTCCATACCCCACCAACCTTCGGGGAAAGGTCCACAAACTCTGAAAAGATAGGCTGTGAACTTCACGCTGCCTAACCTGGAGGCTTGGGTACCTCGGCTTCAAGTCTGGCCTTGGATGCTTCTTGTTATTATCACTGGAAGCATCAGCCAGGACTCTGGCCCCTTCAAGTGGTTGGCCAGACTGTCCTCCTGAGAGCAACGGGTCAGGGAGACACCTCCCCCTCCCAGGATGAATCCAGAAGCTCAGAAGCTTTTTCCTAGCCCCTCTCTGAAAGTCCTGCTCACCTCCCGAATTATCTTCCCCACCCCCAGTCTCATCTTGTATCTTTCCCTGCAGTGTGGGACTTTATTTACACTGGAATAGTGGTTCCAGTTCTCAAAAATTGCTGAGAGACAAGAATGAGCAGTTCTGCCCAGTCTTGGGGCTTGGACCATCCACCTTGACCTTGTCTGCGGCCTGCTGGCCTTTCTTCCCTTGACCACAGCTGTGCAGGGCAGTGGACCCACAGCTGGGGCACTGGAAGCAGCACAGGCTTGGTGTGCCAGGTGGAGCTTCCCACCACCTACTGCCCGGCTGGCCCGCTCGGAACTGCCCACCTCAGCTGGGCACTGCAGGTGGGAAAGCTGATACTTGGTGTACTCAGCAAAGACCCCAGGCATCCAGCCACTGGTTTGAGCAGGAAACTGACCACCAAGGAGCTGTGGGGCACCACGCAAGCCGTGCTGTCCTGCTCAGCAGACGCCCCCCTCTCTGGGAGTGCAGTTCTCAGCCTTTTTCCTCTCTTTGCCCTCCCCACCTAGGTCACAAGGACCCTAATGATCACCTATGTCCCCACGGACATCCAAGATCCAGAACTCATCAGCAAACATTTTCAGTAAGTTGAGGCCCAGTTGATGCGTCGCCTTCTCCTGGGAATGCCACCCGATCCTCTTGTGGGTCATGGGCACTCCCTGACCAGCTGGACACAGCCTTTCAGAATGGGGAGGGCAGGGCAGGAGGGGACGGGTTTGGGAAGCACACCCCCCTGCCTGGAATGAGTGTGATGTAGGCGATGTCTTTCCCTTCCCACATTGTTCCCACTGATGACCCCAAGGAGCCCCTGGGCCCCAGTTAGGGCAGGTCCCTAGAGCAGGTCATCTTGAGGCATCTTTTATGACCCCAGGAACACCCACCACTGAGCTGATTATCTCTGGGTGAGCAGCCCTTTCTTTCCTGGGGCCCTGGAGGTTTGAGCTCAGCCTCTCTTGTTGTTTTCTGTCATTTGGGAAGGATGTGACCCCTCTCTGATGACCAAGACTCAACCCAGATGGGCAGGCTGAGGAGCCAGGGCTGGGTGCTCTCATCCCTAAAGCAGGGATGCAGGCAGCTGAGCTGCCCAGCCCGGTGGTCTACAGAGCAAGGCCAAGGGCAGGGTAGCGCATCTAACCCTGCAGGCTGGTTTAGCACCTCTGTTTCCGGCTGCAGTGAGGCCTATCCTGGGTGTGTAGTGACCAGAGTCCACTTCTGCTATGACGTCAGGGACCTGATTGACTTGGACGACCAGAGGTGAGGTCCACCGCGGGGCCTGAGATGGGGGAGATGGGGAGGATGTTTGCCCCTGACCAGACATTTGCCTCCCTCACCTGCTGGCTGACAGACGCCACGCCATGCGGGGCCGGCTCTACTACACTGCCAAGGCCAAGAAGACTGGGAAGGTCATGATCAGGGTTCACCCCTGCTCCCGTCTGTGCTTCTGCGAGTGCTGGACCTGCTTCCGGAAGGTAACTGGCGAGCTCATGGGGGAGTGGGGTAATGGCCGAGTAGGGGCCAGGGGCACTTGGTCTCCACCTGTGTTTTGCACCCTTGGGCCCCACTGTCTAATTCTGCTCCCTCCTCCCAGCATGCCCTACTTTCTTGCTGAGCATGTGGAGGTGCTCTCGCCTTTCCTGGGTCACCCCCAGAGCTTGCTCATGCATTCTCGTATGAAGACCTGGAGGACCAGAACCAACACGGTGGGATGCAGCAGGAGTCTCAGGCTAGGACAGGGATGATGAAGTCAGTGACTCCATCATAACATCCACTATGGCTAGAGAGCGCTTGAACACATGGACTCCTGCCTCAGGGTATCACTGTTCCAGCCAGTCCAGGAATAAAGGCCCACCTTCTCATTTCTGAAAACACTATGAATACATCCTGCCACTTTGTAGGGCCCACCCAAGTCTGACAGTATTACTGCGTGCGCACACGCGCGTGCACACACACACACACATACACACACACACCTCCACAGACCTGCCTTCCTTTCCCCAGAGAGAAATGAGCTCCCCAGATAGCTCACTGCAGAGTGATAGCATCTTCCTATTTGGGAAACTTGGATCCCACCTGGGACCCTGAGCTCTCTTAAGGGGGTCTGGGGTTGGACCAGCAGTCTCAACTACCCTCTTCCTGGGCTCCTGAGTACAGGAAACCTTTCGTACATGTGTGGCCCTCCTGGGCGGTCTTGTCTCCCAGCTCTGAGGGCCACGTCTTGCCCCAGGTAGACGCAGAGCAGTATTACAGTGAGCTGGAGGAGCAGCTGACAGATGAGTTCAATGCCGAGCTCAACCGCGTTCGGCTGAAGCGTCTAGACCTGATCTTTGTCACCTTCCAGGACGCCAGGATGACCAACTAGTGAGTACCAGGGCCAGCCAAGCCCTGAGAACCCTGCGTCTCTGACACCATCCTCCTTCGCCCCCTTCTAGCCAAGGGAGACCTGTCCTCAGTTTACCACATCGTGACCTCCCAAGCCCTCCCCGTGCTCCTCACAGGCTTGCCAGAGCATGGCCATGTTTGCTTCTCTGGTTGCAAGGACTCAGCTTGTCCACAGAGAGGCTCAGGGCTGTGGCTTTTTACACCCATATGGCCTTCCTTCAGCCCAGAGTGGTCAGAAAGGCTCTGAGCACTTCTTTCTCTAGAACCTGGGCAAGAACAATATGCATTTTCTCCCATCTGCACACTCCTCACGCCCTTCCTCCAAGAACTGACAGAGCTCTGGCTAAGAAAACCCAGCTTCGCTTTCCTCCTCATCTGACTCCCTAATTGAATCTCAGAGTCTCTTCTTTCTTCTGCCTCGGCCTCTAGTTAGCAACTACACCATAGCAAGGAAGGAGTAAACCTAACTCTGGCAAGTTCCAGAAGGATCCTTGCAACTGGGTCATGGATAGGAGCATCAAAGCCAGGCTCTTGAGCATCATGGGGCCTCCTCTCCTTAGAGGAGCCTAATTGTACAGAAGCCTTGATCCTCCTCCACCCTCATCCTTCACAGAAATCGTGGAACAACCTCCGTTTTAGTCCCAAACAATTGTGTGCAATTCTGCAAGTCATTTACACTCTCAAATTTTTTTGCTTGTCAAATTTGGTTACTCCTGTCTTCCCTTATCAATCCCCTAGAGGGCTGAGATGTGATATGTGTTCTACCTAATATGTGTTACATATAAAGCAATACAACTACCTAAGAAATATTATTGCTCATTTCCTGAGACATTGGCATACTTAGAGACTCAGGTTAAGCAAAGAGAAAGTATGAATTAGGAGGCCAAAGATGGGGCTCCAGTCAAACACTTGTTCCTCCTAGGCTGTATCTTTAGACCCCTCCATTAGGTCATTATCTGTGCAATCTGGGTGGTACTAACCCCCAAATGACACAGTTCTGGGCACACAGAAAAAAACACACTGATCGGTGGCTTTTGATACTAAGATGAGTATAATTCAGTACTGTCCCTAGTAATCTCACAGGATTGCAGAGAGCATGCTACGTATTGTCACTGCTGCCTGAGGGAAGAGCCATTGGCCAAGCACTGTCTGGTTCCTCTTCCTCCTTCCTGGACAATTGAAGCACCCCGAATGTCCCCTTCCTCTAACTACTGAGTCTCAGGAACTTCCCACCTCTAAGGTCCTGGCAGTCATATCCACGGCCTTAAGGAACCCCAGGAAGCTGGCATGTTCCCGACTAGGGGAAAGTCACAATAACCCTGGTCCTTGGCCTGCGACCTACCCACCTCACCCCCAGCCCTTTGCTCTCCATGCTCTTCCCCTTCACCAGCATCATTGAGGATTACAAGTACGCCCGTTGTGGAGTGCGCCCCCACCAGTCCTCGGTGACCACCACTGTCAAATCCTATCGCTGGAGAGTCGCCCTCGCCCCACACCCCAAGGACATCATCTGGTAAGTCCTTTCCATCTTTCCCTGCCCCCTTGAGTCCTTTGATCTGGAAGAAGGCAACAGGACAGGAGCCAAGGGAAGGGACTTTTCTACCACCTCACTGAACAGCAGAGTCCCTGTGGGGCCTGAGCCCAGTGCCCCCCGCAGCTCTCCCCACCCAGCTTGTGTGTCTCCAAACATCACAGCCTCTGCTCGCCCCAGACTCGTCTGCACCCAAGTGTAGAAGGCCCGACCTTGGAGGGAAGGGATTTTCCTGAGGCATGAACTCTAAGGATCCATTTTCCCTTGTTGTTGTCCCTGTTACACCGTAGAGTTGGAACCGACCCATAGCTGGCCCTCCAGTGCGTTTTCAGAGGCAGTTAATCACACAGAAGGAGACCACCCATCTTTCTCCTACAGAGCAGATGGTGGTCTCAAACCACATACCTTCAGGATTTCATTGCAACTTCTTGCCACTAGGCCACCAAAGCTCCATTTCCCCCCTTATCTGTGAATATACCTAACGGAGCTCTGGTGGCCTGGTAGTAAGGAGTTGCACTATCACCTCAAATCACGTGGTTTGAGTCCAAGAAAGATTCCTTCCCCATGCAGTTTACAGCCTCTGAAAACCCTCTGGGGGTCAGCTGTGCATTGGTTCTGACTCAAAAGGCTGAGTTTAGTATGAGTTATAAATATATGTAGTGTGACTAGGGGCACAATGCAGGGACCCTTTGCATGAGAACCTGGGTCCAGGGGACTGAATTAGAGGGTGATTTGAGTGACAGCTGACAGACCAACACAGGGCTGGGCCTGGGAGCCAGAGCCCTAAAGCACCCCCTTCCTTCCCCAGGCAACATCTGTCTGTCCGCAGCTTCTTTTGGTGGGCCCGCTTTATGGCAATCAACACCTTCCTCTTCTTCCTCTTCTTCTTCCTCACCACGCCCGCTATCATCATCAACACCATTGACATGTACAACGTCACCCGGCCCATCGAGAACCTCAAGGTGCCTCCTCTGCTCAGGCCAGGCCTGGGGGCCCTGGGGAGATCAAGGAAAAACTCAGGCGAGGACGGGATGGGGGCCCACTGGGATGGGTTCCAGAGCCCAGCTCATATGACCAGCATGATGGAGGTGGCAGTGGTAGAAATGGTGGGGGAGAGTCTCCTGTGTTCCAGACTAGTTGCACCCGGGTCATTCCCTTTCTTAGGGATTGGATCTAGAGAGGAAAGGAAAGGTGGGGAGCAGCAGACAAGTTCTAGGAGGAGTTTAGGGTGTCCACTCAAGTATGGGCTAGGAGGGCTTCTGGAGATAGGGTCAGCATAGGTCATCAAGAAGTAGGAGAGCCAAACTGGATAGGCCATGGCACGTGTGAGTTCTGACCACCAAAAGGTATCAGCGCTGGGATCTCTGCTGTGAGTGGACTGGCAGAGGGTGGGACAGGAGCCCCAGATCCATCTCTGTTTACCTCCAGACACCCCCACTTCAGACTAGGAGCCCTCAGACCTGTAGGACTCATTCTGGAAATGGTGGTGGTGTATGGTGTTAGGTATTGTTGGGTCGAGTACAACCCATAATGACTCTGAACAATAGGTCTGAACCCTGTCCTATCTCATGCCATCCTTACACTTGCTGACACTCTAGAGCCCATTGCAATGGTCACTGTGCCTGTCCATCTGGTTGAAGGTCTTCCTCTTTTTTGCCAACCCTCCACCTTTGCAAGTATGATGTCCATCTCCAAGGAATAGCTTCTCCTAGCAACATGTCAAAAGTATGTGAGATGAAGTGTTACCATCTTTGCCTCCAGGAAGCCCTCTGGCTGCACCTTCTCCAGGACATATTTGTTCTTTTGGCCATCCATGGAATGTTCAGTGGGATCTTCTTCAACACCACAGCTTCTTCTGTCATCCTTATTCATGGTCCAGCTCTCAGATACACAGCAAGTGATCAGAATGACCTGAATCAGATGCACCTTCATCCTCAAACATCATTATACCTCAATAATTTGGAGAGGTCTCTGACTGCAGACTTTCCCAGTACAGAAGTCTCCTTATTTTCTGACTGCTGGTACCAAGGATGGTGATTGTGGATCCAAGTAAGATGAATGGTTGACAACTTCAATCTTTTCTTGATCTATCATAATATTGCCTATAACTCCCATGGTAAGAACTTTTGTTTTTGTTAAGCTGAGATACAATCTGTATTGAAGGCTGTATTTTTTGATCTTCAGCAACAAGTGCTTCAAGTCCTCCTCACTTTCAGCATCATATAATGCAGATTATTGATGAGTATTCCTCCAATCTTATTCCACATTCTTCTTCATAGAGTCCAGCTTATCAAATAATTTGCTCAGCATACAAAGTGAGTAGGTATGGAGAGAGAATATGACCCTGACACACTTACTTCTTAATGTTAAAGCTTGTAGTTGCCTCTTAATGAAGGTTGCGTATGGAATGTTTGTTTTGGGGGGTTTATCCTCCACAAGCAAATGTCAGCTGATTGGAGTTGCCAGATTTAGCTGTGAGCTGGAGGTCTCTAGTTTATAGTCAACCAGCATTTGATGCGCATAGCTGTATTTAAAAAGTGCGGTAAGGCCTGAGGCCACAAACCCAAGGGACAAATTTTAATTTCTTTTTGGATGAACATTCTTTTAAGTGGTACAGCAGTGGTCTGTGTGCTGTACTGAAGTAACTTGGAGTTGATGTGATACTGAACACTGTGCCAAAGGTGTGTCAAACAATGGTCACTCATCGTGGGCAGGGTTTGGGGGAGCTCCAGGTTGATTCAGGTTTGGAAGCAGGAGTGGCATCCACTTCCTAAACCACATGCCTCTAGAAACTCTATGAACATAGAGAAATGAACATAGACAGCTCTAGAACAGGGTTCAGGTCTTTTGTTCACAGGGTCTCTATAAGTCACACTTGATTTGATGGCACTTAACAACAGTGTCTCCTTGCTCTGTTCACACAGCAGCTTCTTGGTCTAGGTATAGGTTTCACATGAGCACAACTGAGTATTCTGGGACTCCCAGTCTTCTCAATGTTAGCCATAACTTGGTATGACCCAAATAGTCAATAAAGCACAAATAGACATTCTTCTGGTAGTCTTTCATTTCAGCCAGGATCCAACTGACCTCAGCAATGATATCTCTGGTGCCACAACCTCTTCTAAATCCTGCATGAACTTCTGGCAGTTCCCTATCTATATACTGTTCTAGGCATTTTTTCATGACCCTCAGCAGTATTTTGTTTGCATGTGATATTGATGATACTCTTTGATAATTTCCACATTCTGTTGGATCACCTTTCTTGGGAATGGGCCCAAATATGGATCTCTTCCAGTCAGTCAGCCACATAAACTGTCCTCCAAATTTCCAAGCATAGGCTGGAGAGCGCGTTCAGGGCTGCATTAGTTGGTTGAAACACGTCAATCAGTATCCCATTGATTCCTCAGGCCTCATTTCCTGCCAGTGCCTTCAGTGCAGCCTCAGCTTCTTCCATCGTTACTATTGGCCCTTGTTCACGTGTACTTCTAACACTTTTCTCTGTCAATTATTTTTGGTACAGTGACTCTGTGTAGTCCCTCTATCTTCTTTTGATGCTTCCTGGATCATTCAACATATTGCCCACAGCATCTTTCAATATTGAGACTTCCAGCTGAAATTTGTTTTTCAGTTCTCTCAGTTTGAGAAATGCAGAGTGAGTTCTTCCTTTCAGGATAGAACTTGAAAAAGTCAATTTCAAGTCAAGTTCTGTCCTGAAGTATAATGTTGTAAGTGATATTATCTGTAAGCATACAAAGAAGACCTGTTAATATGACTATTATTCAAATACACAGCTAAAGGCGAAGAGGAGGAAATTGAAAATATTTACCAAATCTTGCAGTCTGAAATTGACTAACAATGCATTAATGATAATTTGTGACTGGAAGGCAAAACTTGGAAGCAATGAAGAAGGAATAGTGGTCAGAAAGTACGAACTTGGTGAAAGAAATGAAGCTGGAAATAGAATGATTGCATTCTGTATGTTCAGTGATTTATTATTTTAAAAAAGAGAGAGACAATGACATTGTACATGTACCTCACTTGATGCACTACATAGGAATCAGATAGACTGCATCTATAGAAGGAATTGTTGGAGAAGCTCAATATCAGCTATCAAAACGTGGCTGGGGCAAATTATGGGTCAGATCTTTAATTACTCATGTACAAGTTTAAACTGAAGCTGAAGAAAAGGAAAACAAGCCCACAAGAACAAAAAATATGATCTTGAGTCTATTTCACCTGAATTTCAAAATCAACTTAAGAATATGTTTGAATTACGGAACACCAATGCTTGAAGACTAGATGAAATATGGGATGACATCAGAGATATCATCTGTGAAGAGAGCAAAAGGTCATTAAAAAGGCAGAGGAGAAAGAAAAAAATGAAATGGATGTCAGAAGAGACTCTGAAAATGTTGCTAGAACATTGGGGGAAAAATACTGAAGAGCTGATAGAAGATTTCAAAGGGCAGGTTGAGAAGACAAAATATTATAATGGAATATGCAGAGAGCTGCAGTTGGAGGGAGAGGAAATCCAGAAATGGAGAGGGTGCCTTTTACTAACAGAGAAATTCAGAAGACATTCTGGCCCGTTTCCAAATTCTGTAGTGCCTGGGTAACACTGATGGTTAAGTACTAGACAACTAGCTACAGGATGGCAGTTTGAACCTACCCAGAAATTACCTCAGAAAACAGGCTTCTAGAAGTTCATGTCCCTGAAAGCTCTGGAGGACGGGTCCCCTCTGCACGTGTGGAGTCACCATGCATCAGCATTGACTGGTCCACAGCTTCCAGGAATGTCGCCTCAGGGCTGCTGGAGGGAGCCCAGGAGTTCCCTCCTCCCATCATATTGCCACTCCTTTCCCCAGCAATACCCACGTAAGCACACAGGCATACGCTTGGTCAGATGTGAGCGCACATGTGCTCACACACGTGTACACACTCATTCGCACACCTCCATTTCCCCCTAGAACGCCACCTCTGCTGGCTCTTTCTTCCCTTTGTCACCTTCACAGTGGGTCCCAGGCAGCATGTCTGTCGTGAGCATTGTGGCTCTTCCTTCCTTCACCGTCCTCCACTATTCATACTGCGTGAGTAAGGCCAGTGAGGAGGGAGACATGAAAGACAGCGGCTGGTTCTCAGACCCTTGGGCGTGCATCCAGGCAGACCCCTAACCAGAAAGGCATGTGAGACCCTTGGCCAGGCCAGTGAGCAGACTCAGAGAGTGGAAAGACAGCAAGAAGCAGCCTGGGGTGTTAGGAGAGTCTGGGTGTCCTGGAAGGGGAAGGGGTTCCTTGTTGTTGATGTGTCCCTGCCCTCTCCCCTGTGCCCCACAGAGCCCTATCGTGACCCAGTTCTTCCCTTCCCTGCTGCTCTGGGCCTTCACAGTGATCTTACCTCTGATGGTCTACCTCTCTGCCTTCCTTGAGGCACACTGGACCAGGTGAGCTGGAGCCTCCTCTCCCAGCCCCAACCATTCCCCCAGCTGCACATCTATTCCTCAGATAACAGTCCGCTGCTTGGTATGCCTAACCAGGTATCATGTGAATGCTGCCTTCAAAGAGCTTAGCATCCCGCTGGAGAGACAAGGCATGAGTGCCAGCTGGCTTACACCCCGAACCACACCACCCTCACCAGCCTAGCCCTTGGCCCAAGAAATGGACAAAAAAGACTCTTATTTTGCTCCAGGGGCTGAGTTATTTCTTGCACTCTGGCCTCGAGGAAGCTCGAGATAGATGGACAGAACTTTGGCTGCATTAACCCAACAGCCTAGATAATGGAGCAGATCTGTATCATTGGTTCACTCATTCATTTGTTGAACAGATAAAGACTGCAAGCTTGCTATAAGCCACGTCCTAGTTAAGGAACCAGGGAGCTAGTTAAGGAACTCCTGTGGCATGGTCTGTAGAGAGTCACTGACTTAAAGCATGTGGGCCCCAGCCAAGCCCTCATTGGCCTCCACAATAGCCTAAGCCAAACACTGAGGGGATGGGGCCATAGCATGAGCTAGGCAGTGCCAGGAAGGGCGTCCCAGCAAAGGATTCCAGGTGAGGAGGCATGAGCAGGACTTGATGGGCAACATCAGGTAGACTGGCACAGCCACAGAAAAGGGACCCATAAATTCAAGCTGACTAGATTTGTTGGGACCTCACGGGGCCAGAATTCTAAACAAGACGCTTCCCACTTATAAGCCCAAATGTTCATGGGGCTAACTAATTGGTAGGAGTGTTAGCCATAACCTGGGGCAGGTGGGGCCACTCTGCTCCAATGTCTGCACAGATCTCAAAGTTCTTTTCTGCACCATAAATTCCTACCATCCTAACAAACAACAGGGCAGAATAATTATCCTCACAGAAATCCTGTCTAGCCTTTATTTTGGACAAGAACAAGATTAGTGTTGATTATTAAAATTCTGCAGGATTCTGAATATCACTGAATATCCCTTTAACTCAGAGGCTAATATATGGTGTGTGTGTGTGTGTGTGTGCAGGGCAGTTAATGTATTCTCCCCTGCTGCTCCCAGGCACAGCACAGCCCACAGACTTCCATGGAGATCAAATTGGCATGCATAATGTTGGAGCCCAGCTCACGATCTCTTTCCTCATTATCTTAACCAGATCTCCCTCACTGATAAGTATTGCTCTTCGCTTCCTCCCAGGACCACTCAGAATCAGGTCATGATGTACAAGTGCTACATCTTTCTGGTGTTCATGGTCATCATCCTGCCATCGATGGGCTTAACCAGGTACCTCACTATAAATATACCAGTGATTGCTGCCAGTCCATTCCTCAGATAACAGTCCAGGGCCTGTCATGGGCCTAGCATGAGCCAGGTATCATGTGAATGCTGCCCTTAAAGAACTTACGATCCTGCTGGGGAGAGAAGGCAGGTCTGCCAGGTAGCGGCCAGCCCAAGGTGGGAAGCACATAGCCAAGATGCAGTAAATGTGCAAAAAAGGGAGAGAGTACTGTGGGAGAAATGGCTGGTGTGGATTTGCTGAAGGCGGTGGCCTTGAACTGAAGGGTTAAGGGTTAGGAGCGAGGGTGGCCTAGTATTAAGTAGCAAGAGGGGTATCGTGGACCAATCAGCCGGGAAGACTATTAGGAAAGACGACTGAGCAGAGAGAAATTGGACCTTTAGCTCATAGGTTTGCTAACTACAGAATCTACCCTCATTCTTCTTGTAGCTTGGACGTATTTTTGCGCTGGCTCTTTGACATCTATTATCTGGATCAGGCATACATCCATTTTCAGTGAGTACTGCATCCGTGTTTTAGAGTTGCCTTGCATGTATACCCAGCCTTCTGTGTATGGCATTGGGGTTACATCTTCCCTGAGTCCAGCACCTTTACTTGCTCTACTCTTGACCCCTCAGCCATCGGTAAAGCCTCAGGTCCCTTCCTCTGTATGATGTTTTTAAAATAATCATAGAGTCTCAGAATTATAGGTGGGGAAATGTTGTCTAGTGAGGCTCTGGTGTGTACCCTGCATTCAGTTCCCCCTAGTGGCCACAGCTTGCATGACTCCAGTGCAGTGTCAAAACCGGGAAACTGACATTAACACAATCCATGGGGCTTTTCCCGATTTTGCCAGCTTTGCGTGTTCTTTGAAGGATGCCTTGAAAATCCATGAAATCAACTATGCTGAAATCTCGCTTTCAAGATATTTAAAAAATCAAGCTTGGGATGTAATCTTTACTAACGCAATTGACAGCAAGACAGTGTGTGTTAGATAGAAGCTGATTTAGTGTGAGTGACATTAAGCCATAAGGAGAGGTCACTTCTGACAGCATGCAGGTCATGGGGGCATACAGCCAATTTAGGATTTTGGGGGGTTTGGTTAAAAGTATTAAAATGCCTGGTTTTCTGAGATACAATGTTGTGCATGCTTCCATGTTGTTACACACTGTGGTTGTTGTTGATGTTAGGTGCCGTTGAGACAGAAGTGTGAAGTCAGTACCAAATCATAGTGAGTGACCCCGTACGGCAGGGATTTCTGTCATATTTATGGGAGATAACCAGGCTTTTCTTCCAAGGAGCTACTACGTGTTTCAAACCACCCACCTTTCTATTGGCTGCCAGTCATTTAACCATTGAACCACCTTGCAAGCCTCCAGAGTGTGTTCTATAAGACAAAGACCAGAATTCTCCAAAGTTTCTTCATTAAACTATAATTGCAAAAAAACCTTTCCCCCCTCAAAGATCAATGGAGACAGTCATCAGAACAAAGCAAGGAAACACTGTACAGTTCAAAATTAGGAAAGGAATGACTCAGGGATACATCCTCATCTCTATATCTTTTCAATCTGTATGTGGAACAGATCATTCGGGAGGCTGGGCTCTATGAGGAGGAATTTGGAATCTGGATTGGAAGAAGACTCATGAACAACCTGCGAGATACAGATGTCACAATTTTGCTTGCCCAAACTGAGGAGAACCTGAAGTGTTTACTGCGAAAGGTCCAGGACTGCAATATGGTCCTGCAATTTTCAATATGCACGTTTTCACTGTGACCTCTAGTTGAAGATGACCACCTGCATAAATTCATGTCTGAAGCTCTCAGTTAAAACAGCAAGATCTGATCATGTGTAATCAAGTAACAGGTCTAATACCTGCTTTCATTTTGAAATTGTGGCAAGTGCAAACAATATTATGAGATGTGAAAAATAACTACAATGGGACATGGTCTGATTTCTATTGGTGAGAAAGTCACAGCAGAGTGGCATCCACTTCCTAAACAACATGCCTCCAGAATCTCTATGAACTTTGATAAATGTCGATAGTTATACAAAGGCTTCCGACCTTTTGTTCATAGAGTCATTACGAGTCGTGCTCAACTCGAAGGCAATCAACAACAACAACATGATTAACACTACTGTCATTTGTTGCCAATATTCTTTTTATAAAAATGTGATTTAGTAAATGTTTTACAAAGCAGAGTGGTCCTCCATGAAGCCGTTTACGCACATTTTGTTTTATGAGATTAATACTCCTCCTCCCAGAAAGCGCTGCTGGCCTAGTTCATAGAGTGGACAGCTAATCCACAGGTGGGACCTCTCTGGTGGCTGGAGCACCCACCCCAACAGCTTCACAGGAGAAAGATGCTAATCCTCCCACGTGATTTACAACTTCAAAAACCCACTGTGGGCTCAGCTCTGAGTCGATTCCACAGCAATGAGTTTGAGGGTTTAAAAATAGCATCCACATTGTAACCACATTCTCCCCTGTGATTCTAGTTTCCTTTAGTCCTATCCAGTCTTTCCTACCTTCGTCTAAGCTCTGTCCCCAGGAAGATGCTGCCCTTTTCATCTTATCTGGCTGATGAATCTAAGGAGCGAGAGATGTTGTCCCTTACTCTTAATCAAAGGAAATGGTAACATTCAGTTAGACTTTAGTAAGCATAAAGATAGACTAGTTGTTGTTGTTGTTGTTGTTTTTTTCAGTCCAAGTCTGTAGACCTGCAGTTCTACTCTTGGACGTTCTAGAGTCCACCACCCTTGCTTTTGACTGTGCCAGTGTTTGGCAGATTTTTTCCTGTAAGATTTTTATTTTATTCTGGTTTACTTACAAATTTTCTATCGTTTTTCACACTGGATCTTTCCCATTTCCTCTACCCACCTTTCCCTCTACCCATCAAGTTGTGTGACCCTATGATTTCCCCCCTGCCCATCCTCACCCCTCTGCTCCTACCATCCCCCCTTTGGATCTTCATGCATGTTTTACTATTTCTCTTCCTATTTCTACAATAATGATCTTATACGGCATTTGTCCTTATGGTATTGAGTTCACTTAGCACAATGCTCTCCAGTCCCTCCCAAGTGAGGTAGTAATTTTTAAAATCATTGCTCCTGTGTGCTGCATATTATTCCATTGTGTGAATGTACCATAATTTCTCAATCCATTTGATTGTGGCTGGACATCTGGGCTGTTTCCATGTTCTTCATGCCAGTGTTTTTGAGCTGCCCTCCAACTCCCAGGGGCTATGGACATAGCTATGCCCACACCTTAAGCTGGGTGAGAAGAGAGAGAAATAAAAACCTTTCTCCCCCACGTCCGCCTCTATCTCCTTCACCCCCAGTCCCTCCTTCCTCTGTGCTTTCTCTCCTCCCTTACAACACCTCTTCTTCACCTCCACTCCCATTGCCCAGATGCGTGTTCCTGCCAGACAATGGCGCCTTCTTCGTCAACTACGTGATCACGGCAGGTTTGATTGGCACAGGCATGGAGCTCTTGCGGCTGGGTTCCCTCTTCGTGTACAGCACCCGCCTCTTCTTCTCCAGGTCGGAGCCAGAGAGAGTCCACATCCGGAAGGTGAGGGTGGGCCCTTAACTTCTCCTTGGGAGGGGTATCAGGAAGGGAGGCTGGGGTGGAGTCTATGGACGCACCAAGAAACCTGAAGTTGGTGGCATGGTGTGGTGTGGTGGTGCGTCTTGGACCCCAGGATGAGGAGGGAGGCGGCATCCAGGCCTGAATTGCTCCCCAGGGGTGAGAAGGAGCGACAGAAGTGACCAGGCTGAGGAGGCCAGGAAACATCAGGGTGATCCCTTGCCTTCCATCCTAGAACCAGGCCATAGACTTCCAGTTTGGGCGCGAGTACGCGTGGATGTTGAACGTGTTCAGTGTCGTCATGGCATACAGCATCACCTGCCCGATCATTGTCCCTTTCGGTGAGTCGCCCCTGGGGCCTTTCCATTTAGGCCATTTGGATAAAACGTCTGTTGGATGAATGAATGGCTCACTCTTCCCCAAGCCAGCAGATAACAGCTCAGGAACCTGCTGGCCCCAGTGGTCAGCCAGGGGTCAGCCCAAGGGGCTCCCCCATAGCCTGGACTTGCCTCTCAGCCTTGAGTCTGGCTTCTCAGGCCTGGGATGGCTTTGAGTCACACAGACCCAACTGTAAGTGGTCGCTGAGTGTGCCCCTGTTCACTCAGGCCAGCTGCCACTCGGGCTGGCTCAGAGATGCCCTCTCAGACCGGGCTCATCTCTGCAAGATCCCTGCAGGGGCACCCATGCCACCACAGTGTCCCAGTCTCCAAACAGGCTCGCTCTGCCCCTCCCCTGCTCCTTCCTTCCAGGGACTTCTCAGTGGAGCAGAGACAGAAAAGTCAGGATTGAGTCTTGTTGCGTTTTTCCATGATGCTCCCTTTGTGACAGTGGTGTCTGTAAGCACTCAGCTCTTATTTGTGTCGATTTTGCATTTGCTGTCACCTCATCTCTTCTCCTGCCACCTCGCCGACTCGTTTGTTGTGTCTCAGGACTACTCTACCTGTGTATGAAGCACCTGACGGACCGATACAACATGTACTATTCCTTCGCACCCACCAAGCTCAATGAGCAGATCCACATGGCCGCCGTCCACCAGGCCATCTTCGCACCACTACTGGGCCTCTTCTGGATGCTCTTCTTCTCCATGCTACGGCTAGGTAAGTATCAGCGTGCCCTGCTCTGTCCCCTACTACCTCGTGCATCCCTCCACACCATCTCCGTTAGAGCAGAAGCGTCTGGAGGAGGATCTCTGCCTCATCCAGAACTTTCCCTGGGCCCACAGGACACGTGCTGAAATCTCAGCAGAGCTCTGAGGCCAAGTGGAGGCCTTGGCACTGCATGGTCCGAATTGTGTACCGTTTGAGAACACTCAGGGCAAGAAACATCCTAGTCCTCCCTTCTAAGTCGAGGTGGGCAGGCGGTAACACTGTTAATCAAGTGGGGCCCAATTCCCATGACATTCCTTCTGGGATCCTGCGCGTTCTGGAAAGGCTGCAGGAATGAACGAGCTTTGCTCTTACTCTTGGGCTGCCCTGTTCTTGCTGTTTGTGTCTCAGACACCACCGCTCAGGCTGGCTCAGAGATGCCCTCACAGACTGGGCACATTTCTACAGTATCCTCTCAGGGACATTCATGCCATCAGGGCAGTGGTCTCTGCCAGCCACTCCCAGTCTCTAAACAAGCTCTCTCTGCTCCTCACCTGACCCCTGCCTCCTGTTCTCTCCTTCCATAGACTGACTTCTCAATAGAGCAGAGACAGAAAAATCAGCATTATACTTTGTTAGGGGTGTTTTTGGCTTTCCTAACACTCCCTTTGTGAGCTGTAAACTGTCCCCTCTCCTTTGTGTTGATTTTGCATTGGCTGTGACTTTAATCTCTTATCCCACTTGCTTTTCTCCTGCCATGTAGCAAACTCATTTTTCCCATAATCCTTTTTTCCCCAAGTAGAAAGGGCTCTGTGTTTGTTATAAAAAAATTATGTGTATATATGAAGACCAAACTCAATTCCCCATCAGCTTGATGGACATTGCTCCCAGCTCTCAAATTACCCATGTATTTCTGGAAAGGGGCTCTTTGGGGTCATGTTACTTTACAAAATTGCCCATTTTGTGGCATTCAGTCCACTTAACATATTCTGGTATTCTGCATTTTCTCACTGAACATGATGTTGTGAATGATTTCCCCTGTTGCTAGAATACTTTTGGAGTGTGTGCCTCTGAATAGCAGCATTCGCTCTGTTGATTTTAGTCAGCTCCCTGTGACTGGATCTGGAGGGGGTTAGGATTTCCCCCTCCACTATTTTAAAAGCATTTTACGGTAAGCACCATTATGCAGTCGTCTTTGACTGTCAAGATTGATTTTTAACAGTTAGCTACTTAGAAAACTGCTATGGCCAGAAAGTTACCAAATATCCTCAAAGAAATAAGATCTCTCTAAAGAGACCACCGTGTTGAAGATAACTAGCAGGTGAAGAAAGGCATATTTAATGGGCACTTAAGATAGCACTTAAATCAATTACAGAAGACTCTGAGTCTTAAGTGCTCAACTGCTAACTAAATGGTTAGTGGCTCGAGTCCACCCAGAGATGTCTTAGAAGAAAGACTTGATTATCTCTATTCAAAAGATCACATTCCTGAAAATCCCATGAAGCATTTGTACTCTGTACATTGGAGTCACTATGATCAGAATCGATTCTACGGCAACTAACAACAAGTCACCATTCATTGCTATGTACCATCGAGTCGGAACCGACCCATAAATCCCTGGTGGGTTTTCAGAGGCAGTTTATTACACAAGAGGACATTGCCCATCCTTCCACAGAGCGACTAAAGAACAGTTAGAATCAACAAAATGTTAAATTTGAAACTTAATGCATACAACAAGGGGGTGATGCCTAAAGGACTAGGAGGAGAATGGGGTCATAGAGTGGGCCCCAGGCTGGGCTCGTCCCCAAGCCTCTGCCAGCTGGGGCATCTCAGCCGGCAGAGCACCTGTCCACACCTGATATCACGAGCAGCAGGCCCACAGCCCTTCCTTCTTCTTGGCAGGACCGTTCCACTACATCACCATCTTCTCCATCTTCATCCTTGTCCTAGCCGTGATGATTGGCTTTCTCGGAACTCTTCTCGGGAAACTTCGGAAGGTCCCTGACTCTGAGGTGAGTGACCAGCTGGCCTTTTCTGTCCTGGTTCTTCGCCTCTTCCTGGCCCTGGGCACCCACAGCAACACAGGTGAGGTCCTCTCCCTCCTTCTGATTATGGGACTCGGGTTGCACACAGGGGTCAGCCTTGCACCAGCCCCGGCACACGGCTCATGGAATGGGAAAGGCCAGAAAAAAGATGCCCCTTCCCCGTCTTCACCAACAGCTCCTCCAAACAGCAGGCTCCTGGCCTGTTTCCTACTTGGCCCTGGGCCACGATCACCACTCGAAGGGGTCAAGGGCTGGGAGATGATGGAGCAAGAGAGGGCAAGGGAGCATAGTTATTATCCACCTTTAAGAATCCCAGGTTCTTGAACTTGAAGCTGTCATGTTAGGAAGTGAGGCTCACTCCTGACTCCCAAGGACTCCCTGCCAGCTAGACTCTAGTCCAGCATTTCCCAAAGAGTGGTGTCTGCATAGGACCCTGGAGTGATTTCCTGTGCACCTAGACACCATTTTTTTTTCATTTCTTAAGGTTAAATATCCATTTTTTTAAAAAAAATTTCTTCTTATAGAAACTGACAGGCGTCTTACTGTGACCGTGAATTCTTTTCTAAGTGAGGTTAGATGTTCGGGTTTAAAGTACTAGTCTGTCACAGAGGTGACATGAAGTGAAGTGATAAGGGAAGCACAGACAGGTGACAGGTGTGGACTAGTGGGTAAGAAGTTGCGCTGTTAACCTGAAGGCAAGTGGTTCAAATCCACCAGCAACTCCAGGGGTGAAAGATCCTCTGAGGGTCAACTGTTAGTTCTGATTTGACATAACAGCTGTTTTATCGGGGATGCTTGATACATGCCAGCCTTGATCTGCACCTGGCCCTCTTCTATCACGTGGCTGGGGTGTCATGCTGGCACAGGGACTGGGGTGCGTGACTGCGGTGGCTTTGTCTCCTTAGACCAGTAGTGCCAGGTGACCTGAGAGTTCAAATGCCCACTCTAGAGAAGGAGAAGGTAGACCTAGACCATCTTGGTTTTAGATTCACTCTAGATCTAGAAAGCACTTCCTGGGAGGGGGAAAATTGTCAAAGTTAACATTCAGTTTCCTAGAGTCCAGTCAATTCTAAGCCTGCTTCCTTCTCCCCATCGTGGTCACTGGGAATGGAATATTCCGGAAGGGGGTCCCCTAGCTAGAAGTGAATTGAGTTTAGGGGTGTCAGGGTTCCTGTGGTTTGGAGGAGGGGCAGAGGAAGAGGACAGGCCCCTCCCTTCTGTGACCCCTCTTTCCTCACTGCAGCCGGAGGAAGAGATTGAGACGGTGTTTGACATGGAGCCCAGCAGTACCTCCTCCACACCCACTTCCCTCGTGAGTCACCGCCTTCATTCACCCTGGGGACAGGTCAGGAGGGGAGTGGCTGTGGGGGTGGACTACCGCAGCTGCAGCACATGCCCACTCTGGGTAACAGGGTGGAGACGGGGGTCCCCCAGCCTCCCTCCTCTGATGCAGCAGGACTTGACCCAGGTCAAAATGCTGCCGTGGCCCTGGCTGAAGGACCGAAGACAAAGAAGAGGCAGCATTTACCCAAAGAGGATCCAGGCCTTACCAAGCGCGGTGGTGTAGACAGACGCAGGGCTCTGCAGGGCAGGCAGAGCTTACAGGGTGCTACTGGAGGTTGGTGCTGTTGGGGAAAGTGGGGGCGCAGCCAACAGCAAGTGAAGAGTCCACCTCCAAGCAGAGGGGGCTGGACAGGCTGGAGAACTGACATGGCACTGAGTGGGCACCAAGTGGGTCTGTGCCCTATCCACTGAAGAAGGGCACCCACCAGCCCAGGGGACATAGAGAAGGTTTTCCAGAGGGAACATCAAAGCTACCCCCAGGAATGGGAGGAGGACATGCTCAAGTGAAAGAGGCCGTAGGGAGGAGCCTTCCAGGATGAAGACCAGCCTGTGCAAAGGTATGGAAGATTCCAGACCATTGAGGAGCTGAAGGTGATGTAAATGCAAAGTAGACAGCCAGGCAGGTGCGAGGCCAGACATTAGTCCCAAGCAGGATTGGGTATAAATGGCCCAAGCAGTACTTAGTAAGAGTTGGTGGACCTGCCCACCAGGGCACACAGACAGCAGAGTAGCCGTAACTGTAGGTTTGTGTCACTTGGAAAAGAACTCTATCTATAGAGACCAGTGTCCCCAAGAGGTGTCAGACGAGAAGGAGATTTGGTGACAGAAAGATTACAAAGGTTCTCAAGGTCTTTCATTCTGCACCTTCTTCTGATATGCTGTCACTCAAATATTGATAACAATTCTGTTGCAGTCTTCCTCTGAGCCACAGCTTTGTGGTAAATCTACACGGTACAGGCTTTCATCCCCATTTGGAATGTGTGGACACAAAGGCTCAAAAAGCTTCATTAGCTTAGACCCTCAATGCACAAGGACATTGCCGCCAAGGAAAAGTGGGTAGAACAGAGTTTGAACCACCTTTGAAAGAAATAAAGCTTTATATATACACATGCACAGAGCAGTTGTTGTTGTTGTTAAGTGCCATAGAGTCGCAGGCGACTCATAGCGACCCTATGAAGGAGAGTTCTCTACGCTTGGGTGCCTTTTATCCTCTCTCCAGGTTCATAGGGTTTCCGGAGGCAAGCTATTATGGAAGTGGATGCCACTCCTCCTTCCACGCTTGTTTAATCGGGGAGCTCCACCCCACTCTCAGTCCACATTGGGTAGTCAACCATTAACGCATTTGACACATCAGTGTCAAAGAGGTTGCTGTTGACAATGGGTAGAGCAGGATTTAGTGGTGTTGTACTATGAGTCACAGGCAACTCAACAGCACATAACAACAATATAGTAATATATCATCTCATTAATAATTATATGCTACTTATAATTCTGTCTCTCTGTACAGAGCAGAGAGACAGAAACTGATTTTTTTTTTTTACAAAAATGATGTAGGAACATAGTAGAAAATGATGGGGGGAAACTGATAAGCAAAAAGAAAAAGATCTTCTTCCTACCACCCAGAGAGGTCCACTGATTCTCCAGTGCATATTCTTCCAGATAGAAAATAGACATGCACACACAGGATTTTACTAAAGTGAAGTGATACTATATATATCATATCATATTATAATCTGTTGTTGTAAGTTAACTGTTCTTCATATTTTTTTTTTCATTTCTTTTATTATCCAGCTCATATTCAGGTATTCCCCAACTGTTGCTTGGGTGTACCTGTGGCTTGTCTGAACCAAGATTCAATCTTGTGGTAGATGAATCAGTCCATCTGATTCTCATGTCCCTTGTATTCTAGCACAGCGCCTTTTTGTGTACATGTGACTTCTTAGCAACAAGTAGTCCTTCAGAATGTCCCATCTTTTAGATTTTTTCTGTTTCCTTGTTGTCTTAGCTCTCTAATGCTATTTTAGAAATACCACAAGTAAATGGCTCTAACAAACAAAAATTTATTCTCTCAACTTACAAGGCTAGAAGTTCCTTAGGTGAAGGTTTTCTCTGTTTCCTATAGGGGAAAGACCTCTGTCATCAATATTTTCCTGGGTCTTGGAGTTTCTCAGCACAGGGACCCTGGATCAAAGAACACACTCTAATCTTTGCTCTTCTTTATTGGTGATAATGAGATCCCACGTCTTTGCTTATTTCTCTCTCATTTTCTTTAGTTATTTAAAAAAGTGATACAAGCCACACCCTAGGGAAACTCTCCTTATATTAAACCAGGACTCTGGCCTGATTAAGGATGGTAAGAAGCTACATTGCAATCCCAAAGGCATGCATTTCAAACCCACCAGCTGCTGCATGGGAGAAGGATGGGCAGTCTAGTCCCAGGTGATTTACTGCCTCTGAAAACCTGCTGGAGGGTCAACTGTGGATCAGTTCCAACTTGATGGCACACAATAACATCAACTATCATCTTTTTGCAACTGACTGTCTGATCCATCATAAGGAATGACTAAATATATACATAATTGTCACACTACATCATCACATAACCACCAAACCTCTGAGAATCAAGGCCCAACCAAGTTGACACATATTTTGGGGAGAGACATAATTCAAGCCATGTCACTCATGACATCTAATAGCAGGTTCTACTAGCCTGCTTTTTAGTTAACAATCTTCAACTTGCCATAAATAGACATTTTTATCTCTTCTAATATCCTTAAAACTAGTAGTTAGATTCAAAGGCTTGAAAGGTCAAATCTAGCATTAAGGGATAAAATTGTTGTTGTTAGTCACATATGACCCAATGAACAACAGATCTGAACTCTGTCCTATCTTGTGCCAGCCTCACACTTCCTGACACATTAGAGCCCATTGTGGCAATCATTGTGGCAATCCACCTGGTCGAAGGTCTTTCTCTCCTTCACTGAACCTCAGCCTTTCCAAGCATCATATCCCTCTCCAAGGAGTAGCCTCTTCTAGCAAAATGCCCTAAGTATGTGAGGCAAAGCCTCATCATCCTTGCCTCCAAAGAGCACTCAAGCTTCACCCTGTCCAACATGATGTTTCTTTGTTCTTTTGGCAGCCCAAGGAATGTTCAGAGCTCTTCTCCAGCACCACAGCTCAATTCTTCTTTTGTTATCCTTAGTTATTGTCCAGCTTTCAGATGCGTAGCAAGTGATCAGAAAGATCATGGCCTGAATCAGATGCCCTTTGGTTCTCAAACTAAGCTCATTACTCCTCAATAATTTGGAGAGGTCCCTAACTCCAAATATAAAGGGAGTAGGGATAAAGTACAATTACATATATAATACTCCATTTATTCCCATGTATGAAGCTAAAATGACCCCTGATTAGAGTGATGATAGCTAATTTTTCAGTGTTCAGTTCACATTTTCCCCCTTAGAACCAAAAAATCAAGTATGGATTTCACTTTGGTGCCGTGGAAATGTCCAATTCTCCATAGTCCTTCCACAGGAAAACAGCTTTCTCCTTAGCTGGGACTGTTTGATTTCACAGAAATAAATTCCTACAGGAAAATTTCTATTCTGACTTTTACATAGTTCTTCTCCAAGGAAGGAATTGGTTTAAAATCAATCTCTAACAGTGACAAATAGCTCTTCTTCCTAGTAATTGCTGTGTGTGTGTGTTGTTTTTTTTTTCACATATTCCTGGTTGACAGACCATATGACCAAGATGCCATTACATTTAACATCTTGAGTGTCAAATCTTGACTCCATCAATGGTGCAGCACACCAGTGGTGTACTCCAGGTCTGGAGTGCTGCTGAAGCTGTGTTAGAAAGTGTGGTAGCTCAGGGAAGGGCCTCTCCAGAACCCAGCCTCGTCATTCCCCTTGGGTTCAACATAACTTTGAATGAAGAATGAATAGAATGTGTTCTGAAGAAGGAGTGGACTAAGAAGATCTTCAGCTAACAAGTGCTAACTGTCCGGGGAAGGGTGGGAGGAAGGGTATACTGAACTTGAGCTTCTGGGGAAGAAGGAAGGATATTAGGCTTGGAGGATGCAGACGCGGCGGGAGGCAGGGAGTAGGGCATGAGGGGAAAGGCATGTAACTGTGCTCACATCTCCCCTCTCTGTTGTGAGCAGATGTACGTGGCCACCGTGCTCCAGGAACCGGAGATGAACCTGACCCCAGCCACCTCGCCAGCCCGCCACACCTATGGCACCATGAACAGCCAGCCGGAAGGAGACGAGGAAAGTGGCCTGAGGGGTTTTGCAAGGGAGCTGGACTCAACCCAGTTCCAGGAAGGTCTAGAACTAGAGGGCCAGAGTGAATACCACTGACCAGGTCCCACGGCCTCTGCGTGACGACTCCATGAGGGGAGGGCTTGGCAGGGGGAGGCAGGAGGATGTCCCAGAACGCCCTCCACTACCTCCTTGAGACTTTTGGGAAGCCCTCAGTGGAGATGTCTACCATTCTGGCCTGGGTCCCGTGATGTGGAGGCCCTGACCTGCTGCCTGGCTAGAACAGGAGGACTGGGCAGTGCAGATGGACCTCGGGATGGGATGGTGGACACTGGATCCATGATGTCCTGGGAGAAGCAGCCTTGAGCACAGAGACTGAATATTGGAGTTCCCTGTCCGAGAGGAGGGGCAGTCAAGATGGCGAAGGTGTGTGTAAGGGAGGAGCCAGAAAGAAGTCTGCCAGAGGCTGGGGTCCTCAGCTCGCCTCCACCAGCTGCCCTTCCAAGGAGCTTCCGCTGCTGCTGCTCCTCTGTGCCCTCTCCCTTGGCCTCGCCTCCTGCCATCTTCAGAGGCCGAGTATGTGCGCTGGCCTCATCTCCAGAGTGCAAGACCTCGTTTACTACTTCAGGACAGGCCTCTTTGTGTGGGAGTCTGTAAGGGAAACCCCTGACCCCAGAAGAGCCAGGGCCCACTGAGACCATAAGCGGAGAGGGCAGTGACTGGGCCCTTTCCTGTTCCTTTGTCTCTTGTTCATTTCTCCAGGAGGAGCGAGACCTTTGTCCTTTCCATTCTGGCCAGAGTAGCTGGGCCATGGTCCTCCGGGGGCTCACGGACGAGTCCTGTACGTGTTTAAATGAAGGAAACCTTTACTAGCTCTGGCTGGTTGTGTCAGGTGGGGGCAGAGGTAAAATTCACAGAGGGGAGCATCTCCTCATAAAGTTCTGGGTGGTGGGCAACCAAATATACCTCCCTGAGACCCCAGAGCTGAATAAGAGGACCCCTAAGACCATGTCTGGGCCTCTTAAGAGCTTCTTTTGCCTCAAACCCGTCTGAGCGCCTTGGCTTCCAGCATGGCCAAGGTACTGGCAGCTTCAGGTGAGAAAATAATGCTTCTAACTGAAGGCACTAGCCACCCCCACCTCCTCTCCCTAGGAGGACCCTCCATTCTGCCTCCCAGCTGCCTGTACCCTAGATTGAAGGTGCATCCAGTGCCTGCAGGGTGGCCTGGTGCAGACTTTCCTGTCAGTGACACACCTAGCCCTGCCTTGAGGGAGAGGAGGGCCCTGTGTCTTTTTAGAAAAGCCCTTTCTGGATCCCAAGATCTAGAGGAGCTGAATTGTCAGCAGGAAAAACTCTGATGCTGCTCAGCACTTTTGGGGGTGCCTACTGACCTTTGCACTTCAGGATAGACACAAGACTCACCCTGCAGCCCGGCTAAGGTGGACATGAAGAAGGGCCAGCTGGGCTCCAGTAAACCAGTACGAGCCACGATGGATAGGACTTGCATGTTCCAGAATCTTCTTGGACTCCCTTCTCCAAGGTCGAAGTCCCTGTGGCCAGCCTGCTGAAGGCGGGGCCCCCAAGCTCACCTCACTGGGCAATTCTTCCTGCATCCCAGGTACCTGGGTGCCCAAACTCCCATCACCTGGGCCTCATTATTGCACCACCTTTGCCCACATCCTGGAAAGAAGCTTAAAGCTCCACCCTAGGTGAGAAACAGTGCTTGAGGGGCAGACGTTGCTGGATTCTAAAATCAGCTGAAGTAGCCATGTTTCCTACCTGTGTTCCTCTGGAAATCGTACTACTAAAACCCAGACTCCACAGGGCCCTGTCCTAGGACTTCACCAACCACCAGGAAGCAAAGATCTTTTCTAAAGCAGAGGAGTTGGGGCCCCAGCAGGAACTGTATGGGGACAGATGACCAGCTCCAGGCCCTGCCCACCCCCCAGAACATCTATGTTTTTCAGGGGAGGGCAGGGGGCTCTCCCTCACGAGAACGTACCCCCAGTCTCTGAAGCCCCTTCTGGACTGTTGCTAAATTCTCTCGCCCTACAGGCTTCAGAAGCTGCAGTTAGAAAGTCTCAACAGATATGGCACCCCTCTAAGTTTAGTGAGCAGATGTTAGGAAAGTTCTAGAACCCGCTCACCTGCTTGCACTCAGACGCAGGGCAATTGGCCAGGCTCCACCCAGTGGATCCTCACCTCCATGACCACTGAGCATCCTTTAGCTCCTCTGAGCCCTACCACTCACCTTCCTCTGACTCACCACCACCTACCCCCTCTCACTGCACCTCCTTAACCCCTCAGCTGTCCCCACCTCTGGAAGCTGACTGAAAACCTTCAGACTAGGCTTTCTGTGGAGGGAGCTGCCTCTGGGAGCCCAGCGTCGCGTAGAGCCACCAACGGGGCCTTGTTCCCCTACAGCCTGCACAGAGCCCACTCCCCAGGAGACAGCAGCCCCTCACCACCTGCCTGGCCCTCAGCTGCCTCTGGAAGCAAAGTGCCTATCAGCAGCATTGTGTCCTCTGGGTCCCACAGCGTGTGGACTTCCCTTGGCCATCACCACTCCAGGAATGTGCCAGAATACTGAACCTTCTTGTTATTAATGCTATGACCGTGCCTTGAATAAACAAGTGCTCCCAGCATCTGCTGACCTCTTCCTGCACACCTGGCCTTCCCCACACCTGGCAGGGGCCAGAACATGTTAGCTAAGAGCTGAACCTTCTGGAGCCCACAGGCTGGAACATCGGGCCTCACTTGCTGACTTTGTCCCTAGGGCCAGAGCTGTGCCTTCTGAGACCCCCTTGCCCTTGGGGCCTTTGCTGGTCCCAGCCCCACAGGGAAGGGCTGACGAGGGTTGCCTGGTCAGCTGTGGATTCTGTCTGCTGCGGGCTCCGAGGGTCCCTTGAGCAGGAGGAGAGACCTCTCTGGTCCTTGCATCACTCAGGAAGCTGCCTGTCAGGCGGCTTCCCTGGTGAGGGCTGGGCCTGTGAACAGGCAGAAACATAGCTCTACTTGAAGACACACAGATTTCAAGTTGAGGACCCCAAAAAGATTGGTAGGAGCAACCTAGGCTTGTAGGGGGTGGGGGCAGGCAGTCAAGGGGAAGCTGTACATCCAAGGGTATAGAGGGCAGCAGGGAGGAGGTGAGAAGCACCTTTAACAAAAGCTAGTTATGTCTTAAGAGAGCACTCATGGTGAGGAATTGTCCTGACAATGCAAAGGTGCAAGGTTCAAAACTGCTGGCCGCTCTGTGGAAGAAATCTCCTCCCATGCAGTTTACAGCCTCTGAAAACCCACCAGAGGGTCAGCTCTGGGTCAGTTCTGACTTGGTGGCACATAACAACAACAGCTATGTCTTAGAGAGCTCTGGTGGTGTAGGCTGTAGAGGGTTGACACTAAGGCAGAACCTTGGCGGTTCGAATCCACCAGTGGCTCCAAGAAGAATAAGTAATATCCTCCCAGGTAATTCACAGCCTCTGAAAATCTCGTGGAGCTCAACTGGGGGTCACTTCCAACAGGAAAATTTTGAGTGAGTTGTTTGTTACATGTTGGAGTCTCTGGTACAAAGAGTTAACACACTCAGCTGCTAACCAGAAGGGTGGAAGTTCGAGTCTATGCAGAGGAGCCTTGAGTGAAAGGCCTGGTGATCCATTTCCAACAAATCAGCCACTGGCAGCTCTGTGGAACACAGTTCTCCTCTGACGTACACATGCCCCCCTGAGTCGGGATGTCTCCCAGCCCGTGGTGGTGGTGGTGGTGGTGGTGGTCATGTCCCTGCTAAGTGGGTGCTGGGTTGTGGCAATAAGAGACACATTTTTCCTGGCCTGCAAACTCCACCTCTAGGCTGGGAGTTCTGGGTTCTGGTCCTTTCCCATGCCAGCAAGGTGACCCTGGGCTGCCCCCTGCAATCCCTCATGGAGAAATAGGGGTACGAGGTCCTGAGGCTGATGGCTGTGCCTTATTGTGTGCTGTGACGGGAGCAGAGCTGGAGACCTCCACCTCCATCAGTTATTAATGAGAAGAACAGAGGCCAACCTCGGGGCAGGTCACATGAGGCTGCTCCCACTTCCCCATCACTGGACCTTTTCAAGCTTCTGTAGTTCCTCAGTTCCTTATGAACCTATGTTTATAACCTCCCATGGTGCTGTGGTGTGTGGGTGTGTGTAGTGGTGTGGAAGCAGATACTAGGCGTGAGTGACCTTTGGAAAGTCTGCCTAGACTATTAGGGGTGCCACTGCTAAGACATCTCCAGAACCAAGGACAAAAGTGAGGAGGCTGGAAGCCACCCCCAGGACTAGAGACAAGAGTAGGGGAGCTGGAAGCCACTCCCAGGATCAGCGGACAAGAGTGGAGAGGCCAGAAGCCACCCCCAAAACCAGGGACGGAAGTGAGGAGGCTGGAAGCCACCCCCAGGACCAGGGACGAGAGTGGAGAGGCTGAGCAGGCACAATATATCAGGAAGGATTTTGCAGATGCCGGAATCCGCTCACAAGCTGGCCTCCCAGAGCTGTAGGGAGAGGCCATCTGTTCTTAGTGGCCGAGAATGCAATTAGGCAAGGTGTCTCTGGGATGCAGAGGGGTGCGGCCCTGAAGCTGGGGTGGATAGGCAGCAGGCTGGCCCACACAGCCTTCCTTCCAGGCCTCGTGGAGGGTTTTGGACTTGAGCCTAAGGATCGAGAGCCACCGGAAGGTCTGAGGTGGGAGGTCGGGGTTGCCAGGCTCAGGTGTGCATGCTGGGCCAAGTGGACCACAATAGGATCAGATGTGCAGATGCGATGGCAGGTGAGGGCTGAGAGGCCTCATGACAGGTAAGGGATAAAGAGACAGGGTCAGATTCAAGGGGCATGGCAGCATGATCCACAGAGCGGTCTTTCCAGGACTTTCTGCATTAAGCTGCACACCTGACCACAGGTCCTGGGCTGAACTGCCAGAGAGTGAGGGCAGGTGGTGGGGGCTTCCAGGGAGATGCAGGATCCAGCCTGCAACACTCAGCTGCTGCAGCTGCTCCTTCCTTCCCTCCATCACCAACACTGGAGGTGAAGCAGGAGCTGAGTCCTCCAAGGTCTGCGCCGTCAGCCAAAAGGTTTGTCTTTTCA